GTCTTAGTTTTCGTTTGCCATCTAGGTGCTCTTTTATACGGATACACAAAGGTCTGCCCGTTTCACCAATATATTCATCTCCGCAATTGTTACACGAGATCAGGTATATCGTACCTGAACTCATGCAATCACCGTCCCTGCCGTAAGGGCAAATTACGCAATTTGTTGTTTCACACAGACGGTCATACAGGCGGTTGCGAACTAATTGGCGACGTAGAGTAGTCGGTGGTATTTCAACTATCGCTACCGATTCCTCTAGACTTGCCCTTCTTAAGCATCGTTTTATAGCTGCGCTTACTTCATCGCTTATAAAAGGCAACATAAACGGAATTTTCTTTTGGCCAAGTGTTTCGCGTGGGCGCGTCGTTCTCCTTGTAAACTTATCCCGTGGGGTTACTATTTCGTAGCCATTGGAGATGGCTATTTGCCGAGCCAAGTCGCGCGATTCTTCCTTTAGTTCCCTGGTAGTGCACACAGAGGTGGCTGTTCGAAACATGTTTCTCACAATCGCCCTCTTTGTGTGTGAAGGGTGGGAAGAAAGGAAATGAACAAGGATGTTTTTGTTCCTTGGCTTTCGATACCACTTTGTCAGGTAACCGCTACTTGATAGGTTTATTTGGACGTCCAAAAACGGAAGCCAGTCGGTGGTCTTCCTGCAGTGCGTTTAACATCCCGAGGAATCCAGTCACAAACGGCTGTTGTTCATACGTTTTAAGTGTCCACCTCATCTTCTCTTGGACTGTTTGGCATACAGAACGGCATTTTTGATTTTTGACCGTTCACGCTGGTCTGACCCTCGCATCACTTTTCTTAATGATGTGACACAGAATACTCTTATCTTCGTCCTTTTCGACTGCGCGTTATATAACGGTGAGTGATCTTTCATCCTGCTTACGCAGCGATCAAATTTCTGACGCATGCGTTGTGGCAGGAGCTACCGTTGAGTCGAAAACGTGGGCGCGGAGTCGGGTGTTGCTTGCTTTCCGCAATACATCCTCGATACCTTTGAAAACTCCTCAAGCCGCTGATTTCCTTTTGCTTAACTATGGAGCTGAGTCGTTCATCATGTTGATTTCCCGAACTAGACCGACGTAACTGGAGCATTCGCCGATATTCGTTCCGTGGAGAGTGCATGGGGAATGCCTAACTGATCCGTTCCTCATGAACACCGTTTCTGTAAGGTTTAGTCGAAGACCAATCTTTCCACAGGCTTCATCAACAGTCGGCAAGCATTTGGTCCGCTTGGCTAATGTTTGGTGTTATAAGAGCGATGTCGTCAGAAAAGCGAAGATTGCATAACTGCCGACCATTAATTTGCACTACTATTTTGTCGCATTCTAATATTCGCATGACGTTCTCGAAGGTGGCGGTAAATAATTTTGGCGAGATGATATCGCCTTGGCGAACCCCTTTTTTGACGTCGATGTATCGTTATATCGTTGCAGAATGATGATATCTTAGTTGTGAAATTTTGTACATCTCACGAAGAATCTTTATATACTGAGTGGATACTCGCTGACTATCATAGGTTTCCATGACTGTTTCTATTTCAGTTTAGTTAAACGGCTTCTTTAAGTCGATGAAAGTGAGACAGAGCAGTTTTTGTACTCTCGCGATACTTCCATTAGTCTTGTTGTCGTGTGGAAGGGTTCACCGTCCTAAATCCTTTTCGAAACTTTGCTTACTCACATGGTTGCCCTTCGTCCAGTGTTCTGCCAATCCTGTTTAATATGATTCGAGTGAAAAGTTTGTAGACGACAGGCAGCAAGCATGTTGGGCGATAGATGCCGATAACGAGGACGTCACCCTTCTTAAACAATAACACGCTTTTGGTGGTATTCCACTGAGTTCTAATCTTGCGTTCAGACAACTGTCGTGTGAATATCTGAGCCGACATAGTTATGAGAACTGCTGGAAGGTTCATTGTCTGTTCAGATCGTATCATCTTCGGACCTGGTGCTGCTTGATTTTTTGCCGGCAAAACAGCATGTCGGATTACGGAAAGGGGAACCGGTAATGCGATATATCCATCCTCTTTTATTTTACTTGAAGGAAGGAGGACGAAGTATTGAAGGGATCAGAGTAGTAGTCGTGAATGATTTCCTCCATTGCCTTTCTGGACGCTGTAGTTGATCCGTCTCGGCGTCGGAATGCAATCATCTTAGATTTGCAATTGGGAAAGTTTCGGTGGGCTTTGCGAATGCTTTTCTCAGACTCTGCAGCTTCGAATATTAATGCACTCTCCTCTCTTTAGGATCTTCTTTTATGGCCTATCTGCATCGTATTGTATTTGTGACTTCGGACGTGAGTTGGCAGTTGCCTGCAGCTCGTGCGATTCCACGCTGTTGCATGACCTCGGGTGTTTCTGGAGGTAGACGTTTCTTCGTGGCTTTCGAACTATCAACTTTCACAGCGCTAAGGTAGAGATGTTGAATGAGCCATTCGTATTCCTTGTCGATGTCATCGAGAGCGGCATATTCCCAACAGCCGAGTTGAGCAAATCCTTGTTTATGGTGGTTTTGGTTTGTTGAATTTATCAGCGTTTTCTCCTTTCGGAGACAAATGGAATCTTGCAAGAAGGAGGCAATGATCTGATCCCGTGTGGAATTTTGGGACAACAGCGACATCGGTAAGGTTCGATTTACTATCATGTGGGTACTTCGTTATAGCACTCTCCACTGGGAGATTCCCAGTTCCAGCGTTGAGGATTGGGCTTCTAGTATTGCTAGTTAGCTTGGATGTTCTTGGTCGTCAAGATAAATTCAGACGGCCGCTCACCCTTGTCGTTCCATTTTAATCTGTAGACTTCAATGTGACGTTGTTCAGACTCTGTTCTTGGTCCAATCGTAGCGTTAAAATCTCCAATGGTAACCTTGAAGAATGTGTGGTTTTCTCTGTAGAAGTTCTCCAAGTCCACATAGAGCGCTTGGACTTCTTCGTCATAGTTTGATGTCGACGGATAAATGATGAAGATTGACAAAACTGGTATTGATTCACATCTCTTCAGTCGTAAACGTGCAATTCAGGTTGCTAGTTGTTCGGGCGAATCGATGTTCATGGACGAACTCGTGTTGAGGAGAATGCCGACTCTACTGTCGGCGTGTTCTCTGGAACAGTTCTTCTCCGGAGTCAAGGCGGAGCTAAATGAGTGGTGTCGTCTCGTCTCGGCCAGTCCGATGACGTCGTACCCTATATCGAAAAGTCGAGTAAAAACGTTAATAATTGCATTATTCTGCCTGCTATTGCTGATAGGACTCATCTAACGATACATCTCAATGTCAGCAGCACGGATCGTTTCATGTATATTCAAATTCATGGCCAGACTTATAATACTTCTTCTCTGGTTACTATTTAATGCACTCAACTGGTGTCGCGGACCATTCATCCACGGCCAAGAAACCAAAAGCGATGACGACATCAACAAATCAGGGCCGGAGTGTCGACAAGTCGGCCAATAAACATTATCTAATAAAAAAGTAATGTTCTCAATCTTAACTGTTTTATTTACTGCCTATTCTTTTTTAACGGCAGGGTATATGTTGCGAAATATAACTTTAATGATGCTGAGATATTTGCAAAACTCCAGACCGCAAGTGTCTGCGGTGGGGAACGAACGCGCTATTGTCCTTCCCGGGGAGTAACGCGTTCACCACCACACCGTGCGGCTCCTTCGTTTCGCGTGTCTCTCACCTAGTTCTATTGTTCTTTTGCGATCAGTAACCACCCGTCAATGGGATTGATCCTAGCAGCCCAAATCCCAAAGAATATAGTAAGTTAAGATTGTGATAGTTGCAACAATGTGGTAGTAAAAGCGGGTTGTTTCAGCGATAGGAAGATTTTGCGCAATGGAATGCTTATGAGCAGTGTAGGCATTTGAAACAGTTCCTGTATTAGCAACACCTAGGATAGATGGAAACTGATGACAACATAAATATTACGATGGTACAAGAGCAGAGTACTTTACATTACATCTACCTAAACATATGAATTGGTGTGGCAATGATGAGTTTGTGGTGCGCTTGTAACGAGTGTAAATATTCTAGAAGGTTACTAGATTAACAATTAGTAATGGTTGCGTTAAAAATTGATGATAATCTTGACATGTTGACAAAGCAAGAGCTGGAGAATTTATTCAACAGTAATTCTTCGTATTTTTGTTGAGCAAACGCGAGGTGTTATTATTCTTTATTCACGAATGAGCTGACGTTTCGGCAGATTTCGCTTTCCTCAGAGCCTGAAAAGGTCAAGTTGACAGCAATCTACTTGGCCAGACGCCTCCATAACCAAACAAAGAGACTCTAAACCAAGATTTCAATCACATTGAACACAGCTTCGCACACTCACCGCTTTCTATGAGGTCTCCACTAAGTATGTCACGTAGAGACCAACCGCACAGAAATCACATGGAAGTATAATGTGCCCCACTCATCAGAATAGCAGTCTTATATACTGCCCTATAACCAAATGTTCGCCAAGTGGAAGAAGTGCGAGACGAAGGAAAACTTTTGTGCTCAATATTTGGAGGACCGCCTCTGGAGGAGAATAGTGGGCGGGTCAGTGTTGATTTGCAACTCTATTAGGTCTAATGCTAAAGTAGCTTTGCGGAGAAAATTCGAAGGCCTTCTGAGTAAATCACATAACACAGCTTCAATAGCGCACAAAAATATCGCTAAAGAACATCAAACAGATCGTAATAGGATAGGTAATGTGCAAGAAAATTCAAGGCTAACCGTGTTAGGAGGCATGACTCTCCCTGACGGTGCGCGCTCGTTATTAGAATTGGGGCCGAGTTTCTCACCATCTGAACCCATTTCTAAGATAACCTTGCGTAGGGTTGCATGTGGTTTACATGAACTTCAAGATAGACTCCGTAAAAAAGCTAGAGATGGAGCGCTAATAGGCGCGAACAACATCAGGTGGGGGCCCTACCAATAGCACCATTTCCCATGACGTTCTTTAGACAACGAGAGCCCAATAATGAAGTTGATGTTAAATTTCGGATGTTCGCGAATGAAACTCTCAAAGTCCTTAATCACTATCGCGCGAAAAGATACAGCTCAAACCTCACTCCAGTGCAAAAACGTGGTATGCGAGAGGTACGAGACCTGATTAGGTTGAAAACCATAAGACTTTCCGTTAGTGATAAGGGTGGAGAGTTTGTCATAATTCCTCATCAGTTAGATGTGGAGATAACGAAAAAGCATCTTGAAGATGCTTCGCTTTATCGCCCATCATCTGAGGAGGAATTCAAAAGTAAATACCGAAAACTAAACCACGAATGGGCCAAAATGGCAAGGGCTGCTGGTTTGAAACCATCAGTTATCTCTCAACTTAAAGTTGCCTTACCAACATGCCCCGTCTTCTACTTACTTATAAAAACTCATAAGTTAGTATCCAGCGATGATCTCGCGTCTACCGATCTATCACTATTTAAGGTTAGACCTATCATTAGCTGTGTAGACGGGCCAACGGACAGGATAACATGGTTTTTAACCCTAATATTTAACCAGTTGTTGAAACACATTCCAGCCCATCTTACGAATACCCAGATGTTTCTGGATCGTCTACGTACTGCGCAGCCCAACAGCGCGTGCGTGATGGAGTCCTTCGACGTTACCGCCCTTTATACAAACGTGTCGAATGACTCCGCAATGCAAGCCATATACGAACTCCTTACCCAACACGAAGGAGAAATAAACATGTGTGGCTTCAAGATAGAGCACCTGATGGCACTCTTAAAAGAATGCTTGAGCTGCTCAATCTTCAGATGGTCCGGAAAGTACTACGCTCAAATAAGAGGGTTGGCAATGGGACAACGACTGGCTCCAAGCCTTGCCATTGCATTTATGTCTAAAGTGGAGGCACCGGTGACTGATCTCGGGCCGCTACTCTACTGTAGGTATGTGGACGACTGCTTTGTCCTTTGCTCAACACAAGAGGTTGGGTAAGGAGTTCGTATATGGCTTGCATTGCGGAGTCATTCGACACGTTTGTATAAAGGGCGGTAACGTCGAAGGACTCCATCACGCACGCGCTGTTGGGCTGCGCAGTACGTAGACGATCCAGAAACATCTGGGTATTCGTAAGATGGATACTTGTCTAAGGTGGAAGCACCGGTGACTGATCTCGGGCCGCTACTCTACTGTAGGTATGTGGACGACTGCTTTGTCCTTTGCTCAACACAAGAGGAAATGGACAAATTCTTTGAGTTGTTAAACACACAGTCAGAGTACATCAAGTTCACCCGAGAAAAACCGAAAGAAAACGGCTTCCATTCCTGAACGTGCAAATTCACCTGTCGGAGAATGGCTACATTACAAAATGGTACCGAAAGCCAAGTAGTAAAAACATCTTGGTTCATTACCTCTTCTCCCACCCCTCTCACACGGAAAGGGCGCTTATAAGAAACATGTTTCGAACGGCAACCAACGGGAACAGAGAAGGGAAGACGGGAAGAGAACAGAGTGAGGAGTCCCGGAACTTGGCACGGCATATAGCCATTTCTAATGGCTAAGAAACTGTAGCTCAGGATAGGTATAGGGGAAATCCTAGGATGTTTTGCATGAGCTCGGGTACAGTTTATCTGATCTCCTGTAAGACGTGCGGTGACGAATACATTGGCGAAACGGGCAGACCCCTCTGTGTCCGCATAAAAGAACACCTAGCCGCCTGTAAGACGTGTGGTGACGAATACATTGGCGAAACGGGTAGACCCCTCTGTGTCCGCATAAAAGAACACCTAGCCGGCCAAAAATAGACCAAATACTCCGCTAGGCACGCATAGGACCCAGAGACATAACGGGGAGGACTTTGAAGTATGTGTCACGATCCTTCACGCGAATCAAGAACACAGGCGCGAAAAACTCTTGAGGCACTCTGGATTAATTCCAGAAATCCGAAAATGAACCGCAGGGAAGAATGCCTCATTATCACGCGTGATGTAGGGCAGTGTATAAGGCTGCTATTCTGATGAGTGGGGCACATTATACTTCCATGTGATTTCTGTGCGGTTGGTCTCTACGTGACATACTTAGTGGAGACCTCATAGAAAGCGGTGAGTGTGCAAAGCTGTGTTCAATGTGATTGAAATCTTGGTTTAGAGTTTCTTTGTTTGGTTATGGAGGCGTCTTGCCAAGTAGATTGCTGTCAACTTGACCTTTCCAGGCTCTGAGGAAGGCGAAATCTGCCGAAACGTCAGCTCATTCGTGAATAAAGAATAATAACACCTCGCGTTTGCTCAACAAAAATGCGAAGAATTACTTGATCAATGCCGAGGTTAATAGAAAATCGGTCGTGGGAGTTATTCAACAGTATTACTCCCTAAACAAATGAGTGGTGATAGAAGATTAAGCGGGATGGCAGGATGATGATGAAAGAGGAAATGGCGAACTTCAGGCGTCGTCAGAAGGCAAAGGCTCTTCCAAGAGGTGTGGCTAGATCCGAGAGAGTGGCGTGGGTCACGAGGTCACGCCACAGGTTGCCATTAGCCCCTAAGCAATGCGTCGTGCCTGGTAGCATACCTGGTGGCGTGTCTGATGGTTATAGTTGCCGTATCTACTAGCGTGCCCGATGATTAGGATGGGATATGAATATAGGACACTCGCCACTATCAGAACACAAAGAATAAAGTTACAATTGAGAACATTATTTTTTTACTAGATAATGTTTATTGGCCGTCTTGTCGACACTCCGGCCCTGATTTGTTAATTTCGCCATCGCTTTTGGTTCCTTGGCCGCGGATGAATCGTCTTCGACACCAGTTGAGTACATTAAATAGTAACCAGAAAAGAAATATTATCAGGAATATTATCAGTCTGGCAACGATTTTCAATATCCACGAAACGATCCTAACTAGTGACATTGAGACACATTCTTATCTTATCCTTCTTGCTTGAATGACTAGGTCTTTTATCGAGGACTCAGGTGCAAGTGTGTGTGCACTGTAGGTGCAGATTGTCACCTTAGTCCTTTACGATTTAAACAGCAGAGAATGGTCTTGAGATTTTAGCAGTCTGTCCGTACTCATCCTACCCAACGCTGCCGAATTGGGGGCTCTTTCAGGGTCAGGAGAGTGAGGCCCGTTTTTTTTTTTTACTGTGTTTAGCATTTTGATACCCGCCTATAGCTTGCTGGGCTCTGAGCGTGGGGGTTAGGTATACTCACTGGCAGCGTTCCAGACTCTCCCAGAGTGGACATGGAGCTTAGAATCCACCTGCGTCTCAGGCAAGCAAAGATCGCTTTTGGTCCGCGATTAACCCACTATCCGCCACATGGGAACGCACCATGTAGCCTCGCGTCTAACCGGCTAACCGGCGTCGAAGTCCCTCATGTGAAGGAGGTCTATGGTTGGTAGGGACAAATGCGAACTTTACTGGCTCCCACTCGAGTCGCTGGACTTGCGTCGCAAGCATAGATAATATAGGTGATGTGCTCAGAAGCAATTGCGCTTTTCAAATTTAACGCATGACACTCGATATGCATTAAGCACGATATATTTAACAAGCAGAGCGATAATGGCGCTTTTGAACTTTAAACCAATATTTTTGGGTTATATTAAGCTTACCCTTTTAATCAAAAATTTTGGACTGTAAAGATTTTCACTCATACGGGACAAGCTATTTATTCTACGAAAACGGATACTTTTTCGGAACACTTGAAACCCACTTTTTTCACTTTTTTGCGTCAGAGCTCATATTTTGAATGCGAAAGGAGTTGAACAAGCGAGATTTCGTCCAGCACTGCATGATGATTCTTTCCAATCCATTACTGGTTTCTATCTGCCGCGTTTTCGTTAGAAATTTTGGATAGTGAAAATGACGTTCGGCATTAGATACCTATGTGAAGGTTTTATATTCCTATGAAAGGGGTATGAAAGCTTTCCCTGCCGCATGAGGAGCTTTCAAAAGTATCGAGGATTAGTGGAGAGGACAAAGAACACGCGTCTCCGTACCTACCTTTTCGACTCAACGGTACTTCCCGCCTTAACGTATGCCTCAGAAACCTGGTCGCTGGGTAAGCAATGTGAAAGCTCACTTAGCGTTATTGAACCCAAAGTTGAAAGGACGGTGCTAGTATTCCGTTTCACACAAGAAAGGAAAGAGGTCCAAAGCTCCGACTTGCGTCAACGATCAAATATCAGGGTGCTGTTCTGTACGCGATACAGTCGAAGATAAGGGAGGCCGGACACGTAATGCGTATGAATGACAACCGATGGACAAGAGCCGTTAGTGACTGGATTCCTCGGAACCTCAAACGCACTGCAGGAAGACCACTGAGCCACTGAGGTCAGAGTTCTTCACGAAGAGCCTAGAAGAAAGATATGATGTTCAACGTGTTCCTAGATTGAGCAAAACTCACTGGGTTCCTCTTGCACGCGACAGAAAAAAAATGGAAGATTTACTGGCGCCCGCTCAAGTCACTCGACGATCAACGGGACTATAGGGTGACAAGTGATCAAAGGGGTGCGTTCACTGCAGTGGTTAGAGGCGCCCAGCAATACACATGGGATCGATCTCCACTCCCGAAGCCCACGAAGCTGTCCATTCCTCTGAGTTCGGCAAATTGCTACGAGACGTGTGTGAGGATGGCAACACTAGCTCGATATCTCAGTAGGCCATTGCGAGTAATTGTAAAGGCTAGATATGTATTCGATCACTTCCAAACGATGCTAAATGAAGTCGAATGCATTGAGCATCCCTGAGAGATTGATGAACGCCGAGAGCTTCATTCTTTTTTCTTTTGTTACCCTTTAGTAGACCAAATTTCAGTCCTCAGTTATTTTCTGCATTAAAACTGTACAGTCAGTCGCCTCTAATGATGCTTGATGAAGTCGAATATATGTCGCATCTTTCAGAGAATGATCAACGCTGAGAGATTTATCTTTTATCCTTTTGTACCTATAAAGCCATATGAAGAAGTCTCTTTTATAAAGTTCACGTTCTTCTAATGCTCTAATTATCGAGAAATCATCAGCAGTAGTTGAAATACGATTACGGCTGTGTTAACCTTTAATTATCATCAGTTGACAGGCCTTTACTAGCTGTCAAAACTGCTTCAAATTCGCTGCATCCAATAAGTTCCTGTGTTGATTTTTTAGTGCTTAAACAAGTATTCTGTCAACACATAGAGCTCCAGGTGCATTGAGTCCAATTCATTTGATGCAAAAATAAAGGCTGGGTTCAACACTAAGCCAACCCATATTAGGCACTGTTAGATTTTACGAGTTTGAATAAAAACCATTGTGGTCTAGAAATCTTTGCCCACAAGAATAAAATCTTTTTTGTTTGACGTTTTTATGTTCCTATGTTTCTATGTTTTTTTTTATGAAATTGAAATTTTTTGGTCACACGACACATATTTCTTCCACTTTATTGAGTCGGGGATCACAGTTCAAACACGAAAACGAATTAATTGGTGAGATTTCGTCCAGCGGTTCGAACGGGTACAGTATTAAAAAAAAGAATAAAGCTCTCGGCGTTGATCAATCCCTGAAGGATCCGCCGTGCATTCGACGTCATTAAGCATCGTTTGGAGGTTATTGAATGCATGTCTGACCTTTATAATGACTCGCAGTGGCTACCGAAGAATCGAACTGGTGCTACTATTCACCCAGATGAGTCTGGTACTAATTTGCCGACCCCCGAGTGATGAAAGGCTTTGTGGGTCATGGGTGCAGGCATCGATTCCACGTGTGTGTTGCAGGGCGCCTCCGGCCAGTGTGCCACACGCCTTCTAACGGGTAGAGAGATCATAATTGTGCTCCATTAGAATTCCAGAAATTTACATTCCTCCACCAGTTTTTTAAAAAGTTCGATTAAAAACCTATTTAAACTTGAAGGAGCAATGTGTAGAAATTGTGTATAGCATTGCGGCGATGTAGAAAAGTCTCTTCTATACATCTGTAAGGATTTAAATTGTTGAATAATCTAGTGATCGAGGACTTATCGTCTGTTATCAGAAACCAACGTAGAGGGTTATCCCTTAAAGGAGGAACTGTCACCAATAAGAACAAGAGTGAGCAGAACGGAAGCTCTGAGGGAAAATTTGTAGCGTTTTTCAGAGTTCCACTTATTCGAATGTCGTTCATGCAAAAGGAAGTTTGTCACCCCTTTCTTCGCCAATTTCCACATCAAAGAAGGTCTTTGTAAGAAAGAGGAAGGCGAGCTTTGCGATGATGGAGGACCGGTGGGCACTTCTTTCACGTTTCTGGATATATTTTGACGTATTTTACGTTAAACTTGTGAACAACTGGATTTCGTTGCACTTTACTGTTTTGGCATATTCTTATCATATTTGAGGGAATTCTTTTCTTCGAGTCTTCTGGAATATTTGAAGGTTATCCAGATTTTGCTTTTATTCTGGTCGCTGTGATGGTTGCAAGCGAATTTTGCAGGCTCAACGACAGTTCCATTTTGTTCGATAACGAATTTTGAAACTTTAGAATGGTGCACATATTGTCTGTGCAAATAAGAAGGCTATTAGTGGGGAAGTACACCAAAAACTTCCATCGTTCATTTTTCTACTGACGAGTACTCTTTTACTTAACCACAATAATGCTGAGAAATTTGCAAAACTCCGGACCGCAGATGTCTGCGGTGGGGAACGAACGCGCTATTGTCCTTTCCGGGGGTCAACGCGTTCGCCACCACACCATGCAGGGCCTTCGCTTCGCCTGTCTCTCAACTAGTTCTATCAATCAGTGCCATCAGCAATCACCCGTCAACAGGATTGATCTTGGCAGCCCAAATCGGCAATGAACTCAGGATGATAAATCCTCAATTCTTTATTCTTAGAATTAGATATTCTAAATTCTATCAATTATTTTACTGTCTTCCTGTAGTTGATTTTCTAACAGGTGTTGGTATGTTTTCATCGTATTGAGACGTTTTCGAGACTTAGTGTCGGATTTGTAACTTCGTTTTTCTGGTGTATGTTTTGGCAACAATTTATTTTTCGCTGCTGTACTATCATATCTCATCGCAGAACTAATTTTGTGAAATTGCGCTTTGTACAACTGAGTCTCATTTCTCTACCGTCTCATATGTGCGACGATAGATGGTTCCTCTTTGAGAACCGACAACGATCAGGTCAATGCGTGGACTGCGATGAAAATCTGCAGCACTTTCCAAAGCCGAAATTTTGTCAAAAGAGGACCATGCTGGCCGTTTAGTATTTTGCTGTTGGTCTTATTCATCACAGGTTCCTGAATTCACGTGAAGCGATTCCGACAATGAAATACGTTGAACAGGGTGACTAAATGCAGCAGGGGTTCCAACGGTTACGCACTGCACTGGTCAACAGAAAAGGACCAAACTTTTTCTCCCCACTATTCTCGCGCATAAGTCGAACAGCGATGCCTGCAAATGTTGAACAAGCTGAGCTGCCAAACTCTGTCTCATACACCGTACTCGCGAGACCTTTCACCTGCTGTGTCGCTTCTCTAAGAATCTCGACGAATTTCTTGCTGCTTCAAATGTTTTAGAATCAATGTCGACATCGAAATTGTCTTCGGCGAGTTCATCACATCCGGAAGTCCAAAAGATTGCAAAGTTTTTCTTGTTTCGATTAGTAGAGTTCGTTCTGAGTTGACGTATGCCACTTTGGAAATCCGAATTTGAAACTTGACCCCAATTTTCGATACAACTTATATTTTATTTCTTTTAATTTGTCGTCATAACGGTTATTTCGCATAATGATTAATTATGGCTTTCAGGCTCTGAACGTGGTCAATCCGGATGCTGTAGAGTTTTCCTCATTTTGTCGTCTACAAAATGCCATTACAAAATGCACAGGACTGATGCTGCACGAGTGTAGGTTATAGACTAGTACTGTCCCTTACAGTACCCTAATTTCATCAGCACTGTGTTTGTTTACATAAATTGTTTCAGTACAGTATGGAGAAGAGGACCTTCTGAAATGCGCATGTTTCTATGGAAAGGTATGAAAAACTATAGAGTTTAATTTTAATGTTAAAATACACCGGAACGTTTATCGTACCACGTCACGTGCTGTGTCATTCAGTGTATAACTTTTCGGAAGAGTCCCCTTCCCAACACATTCTATCTCAAATGTTGTGCTTCAGTTATAAATACATTTTGTAGGGATAATTTTTATTGACTTCTAATAATTTATCTCTTCATTAAGGGTGGGATTGTTTGTGATTTGTTAAACATGATTGTTAAATTGCGATTTAGAGCGGGTTTTCACTCCCACAGCTGAATTGTGTATGCTTATTTGAGGAGCTCTACACATTCACCCTTGGGGCTAAGGACCAGTGAAATACTTGCTGGTACCTACTAGAGTTGCAGGATGACCATTTGGGTTTACAGGTGATAGAAGTGGATTCGAGTTGAAAGTACGATCCAAAGTTTTCTAAGAATGTTGTGAGATTTTCATTATTTCATCACTAGTAAGAGGCATATTGAGCGTTCGTGTGGCACAGTGGTTGCAGGTGTTCTAAAATACACACGTGATCATTGGTTCGGTCCCGCGCCCGTGATCCCCAAGCTTTCCTTCTCCTTGGGGTTGGGGAAGTAGCACCAGATTTGTCTGGGAGGTTAGCAGCACTGACTCGATTTATTGATAGGCAACCGTCAGTTATTATATAGGTCAGTTATGCGCTTAGTCACCTCTAATGATGCTTGATTAAGTTGAATACATGGTGCTCTCTCAGGGATTCGTCAACATCAAATACTTTATCCTTTGTTCTTTTAAAAGTCGCGCTTATTGAACTTCTGATTCTAGAATTTAACGGACGTAACATGTCACACAAAATTTGCGGTGTATCCGGAACTGGAACATCTAACTGGAGTAATTAAACCTCTATTTATGAATATTAATGCGGAGCGAAGTCGACAATTTTAGACAGGTTACGTACGAGTGAAGCACTTGAAGCATTGAGGGTCACTAACAATTAAATTTGATGTATTGATGTAGAGGAACAAAGTAGAGGGAAGAGCAGCACATGTGAGGAATTCCGTATAGAATAATAACATACAGCCACAATATAGCTTCATAATAGGGATTGTGATAGAGATTATTTTCCATAGTCCTTCCGCCAAGCAAACGAATGACCTAGACTGTTGCAGTGACATCCTTTTAGACATTTTTTTTCAGGGAACTGACTCGCCGGATTCACCGGAGCCAATAATGGTAGAAGAGCGTCAAATGCAGACGTCGCCTCCGGCAACCGATTCGACATCTTCCACGACAGTGACATCTTTTCCAGCAACGTCACAGACTTCTGCTTCAGAGACGGATGCGGAGGAAAGGCAGTCAGTCGAAAATTGTTCGTTTTTATTTAACGTTGAAAAACAGACGTTTTTATATTACGCTTGACTCTTGACGCTTCTTCCAGCCGAGGAGAAGCTGACGTTTGTATCTGATGAAGAAATGCTGACGCTCTTTCCAGACGAGAAGAAGCTGACGTTTGTGTCGGACGATGAGGAGCAAATTCAAGTATGTGCATCAACAGGCGTGTAAATTTGCCACAAAACTAATTTTACCTTTATCCTTTCTTGCGCACATTTTTATAGATCGCATGTTATAATAATCCGTGAAGAACATTTCGAAGCCTGTGTGAAGTGCTTCAATCTACTTACTAATTGTTTGAATTGCTCTTTAGAGACGTGATAAGGGCTGGGGAGAGCATGTACTACCGGCAGTTAGCATTGATAAATTTATAAGAACATCGGGGAAATTGTGAAAAATATTAGAAATAGTTGACGGTAATCTCACATTTCCGGTCGGTGGTTCTTCGGGCACGTTTGTTTGCTTCAGAATTCTGGTCGGCGGATTCAATTAGTCGGGCATGATATCCGCTATTTATGATACTTTAAAAATATTATCTCGTATTGATTTTCTACTGTTTATTATTTCTCTTATATTTCCAAGCAATTAATTTTAATTCTGAAATTGTCTAGAGTTATAATTCTCATAAAGTAAATAATGGAATTCAGCCCTTTTACGGCCATGTGCATCGTGATTCGTGAAGATGAGCCATTAAACTATACATATACAAAAATTCAAGCCAATTAACTCTTCTCTATCCAACATCATTTTTCGGGATTGGTTAAGCGACGAAACCAATCGTTTCCATTGTTCTATTAAAGTGGTGCTCATGTAAGGAATGTCTTCAATTTCAGTGTAAGATATATTTCCATGTGTCGTAGCTCGATTTGAGGTCGTAAGCGTTTGGTAGACACGACGATCCTGTAGTGGAGAATGCTGTGGAACTCAAACATCCAAAAACAGTCTCTTTCTCGCTGAATAAGGCGGAATGCGAGTTGGATAGAAAGAATCGGGAAGTAATGGCATATTCCAGTTTAGCCTCAACCGATTCCACCCGTTTGGAGGTAACAGTATAATGTTGGAGGAGTGTTGACGGTGTCGTTGAAGCTTACTTAATGGAATGCTTATGGAATGGATCATGTAATCGCTCTCGTAAAGCCGCTTGTTGATGTAGGTAGCGAAGAGACGATTGTTCAGGAGTCCGCTGGGTGAAACACATTTATTGATGTTAAATGCGTTTGTGGATTTCTGAAAATGCACTAAAGACTATTTAAATAATCTTAACTTATTATTTACTGCCTTCTCTTTTTAATGGCAGGGTGTATTGTGAAATATAACTTCAATGATGCTGAGATATTTGCAAAACTCCGGACCACAGGTTTCTGCGGTGGGGAACAAACGCGCTATTGTCCTTTCCGGGGAGTAACGCGTTCACCACAACACCATGCGGGTTCTTCGTTTCGCTTGTCTCTCAGCTAGTTCTATCGATCTTTTACCATCAGCAGTCACCCGTCACCGGGAATGATCAGAGGAGCCCAAATCGGCAACGAACCCAGTTAAGCTGATGCTGTAGTTATAATCACAATCTTAACTTATTATTTACTGCCTACTCTTTTTAATGGCAGGGTATATTGCGAAATATAACTTCTCTCAGCATTATTGAACTATTTAAATAGTCGATGTCTATTTTATGAAACCATGGATATGAAAACTTTGGGAGCCACTTTTTGTTCAATCTTCCGCAGCTCAGCCATTTCAGGAAAGCATTAAACCAGGTAGGAAGTGTGGAAGTTGGGTTGATTTGAAATGTTATAACTACACAGTTCGTAATGAAATTAAGATGATTTCTGAAGGTGAAATTAATTAAGATGATTTCTTACTTGGATGTACATATTTGTCCCAGCAACACATAGGGTAATCCATTCCAGCAACATAAGATTCTGAGGCTTTATATCGAGGAATTTTACAAAAGAATTTGTAGAAATGGTTTGGTTTATAGTGTTTTTTAAGGTAGTTGTCAGTCCGCCTAAAAAGTGATAGTCAGTTGAACGTTGCAGCTACTCGAAACCCAATTTGTTCAGCTTTTACGATATCAGTCTTGGAAAGTTCAGCCGAATGCTGCCCTGCAAAACAACGGCTGCTCTCCTACTGAACAGCGTTGTATTTACGACACCATATAAATATACGGGCTAGACAATTTTTGACTCACGTCATCGATTTAGCAGCACTGTTTCTCTGTTGAAAATCTTTCTTCTCTTCCGAATTCCAAAAGTTTGGTGAACTATTCCGCTTACAGACTACCTAGCAGCAACCTTAACGTTTTTGGAGAAAATCCCGATCGACGAAATGTTTGTGAACTCCGTCTTGATCCAGTCACAGCACTGAATGTCGCTAATTGCTGTATAGCATTCAGTTTTCACCGTATGTCGCAGTGTGGTGGAGAAATAGGTCAATACCATTGTCCAACAAAGTGCACATAAGACTTCATAGGAATAATCCTGTTGTTCATCATACAGTTTGTTTTGCACCAGTTAGTTGAACCTTTAACGCATTTCGAATGTCTTGGAGATCATGAAAATCGACTGAATGATTAGCGCGGACTTCTTTCATCTTTTGGGTATTCTTCACATGGTCATCTTCGATTAGCGGTCCCATTATGGTGTCCAAAACTGCTGATTTGAGCACCTTTTTTCTTAATCAGGAGTCAAAGTTTATGTGGGCAACTCTTCGAGCCACTTTAATACTTCTCGTTCAGTAGTCGTTTTTTGGAGCACTTTTTTGACGAAGTTGTGAATGGCTTTATCAACACTGCGATTAAGCCTGGACTCACTAGCGAAACAAAACGCTTTGCTCTCTTTGAAAGTGCACCTTTAATTGCCTAAAACAGTCTAAAATGAGGTTTTAGAGGTTAGTGCAGGTACTTAAGAAGCGGGTAAAGTTGAAAACTTACTTACTTACTTGATACTTTAACTGCCCATCCTCACTGGTTGTGCAGGCCTCAGCATAGTCTCCATTTTTCGGAATTTCGCTAGAGTTGAGAGGTCAGCCTGGCCAAAGTCTGCCTCAGGTCTTCACCACAATAGGCAGCCGCAGCCCTTGTGGATCAGAGGGAGATTTGTCACCATGCGACTTTGATCCCAGGACGGTGATGAATCCTGGTATTGGCTTACTCTTGCTAAGCTTCCTGATGGAAAGGCGGACTCCTCATCTTGGGAGACCCAGCCTGGTGGATGAATGCCGCCTCGATGTGCTTCGCAGCCCGACACCCTGGAACACCTCCTACCCGCGATGAGACGGCAAAGCGTTGGGAGGATTCAATAAAGAACATAGTTATAGAATTCGTATCGACAAGGCCAGGTGTTATTTTTATGTAAACCTGCTATTAAGCGTTTTTATGAACTCATACAGGTTGCCGTCATTGGTGAAAGACCCAGTTAGCAAAATTTAACACCTTTGTTTGAAACGAAGCTGTGCAAAAAAAATTGCTTATGGAAGAACATATGAAAATGGAATGTTGTATCAAAGTTAGAGCAGCATCATACTATCATTTTGTGACAGCTCAATAGATTATGGCTGTTAGCAGCGCTAAATTCACTCATCGATATTCAACCGCAAGTCATATAGGCCAGATATGCATTCAGCTAGTTCTAGTGGTGCGTTATAAAGCCGAAGGCATGGCGCATTCCTCATGGATTGGTCAACGTCCTTCATCTTTTTTAAGAGCAACGCTTACAGATTTCCTGATCAAAGTGTTTTGTGATGATAATGTGTCACACGTGATTTATGGTGTAACCCGAACGTAAACATCTATGTCGAGTGATTACTTTTTACGAACATTTAATGCGAAGCGAAATCGACAATTTTAGAAAGGTTACGTAGGAGTGATGCACTTAAAGCATTGAGGATCGCTAGCAGCTATATTGTTGTAGAGGAGTAAACTAAGGGAAAAGCGGTACATATGGGGAATTCCGATAGAACAACAAACAATCACAATGTCACTCTATGACAGCGATTGTGATAGGGACTATTTTCTATGGTCCTTTCGGCAAACGAATGAATAACGTAGATTTTTGCAATAATTCTTCATCGAGACACATTTTTTCAGGGACCTGACTCTCCGGATTCACCGGAACCGCTAATGTTAGAAGAGCATCAGATGCAGACGTCACCTCCGGCAACGGATGCGACATCTTCCGCGATAGTGGCATCTTTTCCAGCAGTGTCACAGACTTCTGCTTCAATGACAAATGCGAAGGAAAGGCAGTCAATCGAAAAATGTTCGTTTTTATCCGACGTTGAAAAACTGACGTTTGTATCTGACGATGAAATGCTGATGCACTGATGCTTCTTCCAGACGAGGAGAAGCTGACGGTTGTATCTGACGATGAAGTGCTGATGCCTCTTCCCGACGAGGAGAAGCTAACGGTTGTATCAGACGATGAAATGCTGACGCTTCTTCCAGATAAGGAGAAGCTAACGGTTGTATCAGACGATGAAATGCTGACGCTTCTTCCAGATGAGGAGAAGCTGACGGTTGTATCAGACGATGAAATGCTGACGCTTCTTCCAGATGAGGAGAAGCTGACGGTTGTATCAGACGATGAGGAGCAGGCTCAAGTATGTACATCAACAGGCGTATGAATTTACCACGAAATTAATTTAGCTTTTATCCTTTTTTGCGCAAATCTTTATATTTCGCATACTATAGTCACCAGTATAATCACCTCCTCCCAACGGTGTACCGCCTCATCGTGGGTGGGAGGTGTTCCAGTGTGTCAGACTGCTATGTAGGGGGTATTCATCCGCCGGCAGGGTCTCCCAAGTTGAGAAGGAGTCCAGCGTTTCCGCCAGGAAGTCTAGTTGAGAGTAAGCCAATACCAAAATCCACCACCGTCCTGGTATCGAACTTGTCGCATGGTGGCAAATCTTCTTCTGATTCACAGGGGCGGTTGCTGTCTGTGCTAGTGACGACCTAGGGCAGACTTTGGCCAGGCTGACTTCGGGACTCCAGAGAAACACAGTGACTAAATCAGCAAAACTCCGAAAAATGGAGGTTATCTGGGGCACGCACAATCAGTGAAAATGGAGGTCTAATTATCCAAGTATCCAAGTGTAATCACCGGTAAAGAACGTTTCGAACTCTATGTGAAGTATTTTATTCTACCTACTGACTAATGTCGCTGCTCTTTAGAGGCGTCGTAAAGGTTGCGGAAGCATGGGGAAACGAAGGTCACCCTCGATAACCTTGCAAGATCGTCGAAGAAATTGTGAGAAACACTAAAAGCAGTTATTTCATTGGCTGCTTGTCCATATTTTATTCTCCATGGTTTTTCCCACAATGAACAAAAAAGAGCAGTTGGTGCAATCGGACTTGTCACATCGTTAGTGCAGTTCTGCTAATAGCTATCCTTTATAGCAGAAGTGAAACACAGGAGTTAGAGTATTCCAACCTAAATCAGCGATCAATTCTTAGAGATGTTGTCGCATATTGAGATTTACGTTGCATCATCGTCCTCTCGGGGATATCAGTAGATCAGACAAGTCAGCGAAAAGAAGACAATGAGACATCCTCTTTATTGAAACTTTTAATGATAAACCTAACGCTGTTCATGTCGCTTGGGCGAGGTGAGCTGATCAATCAAAAGAACCATGTGGTAAGGTTGGCACCCATGCTGGAAGAGGTCTTGAATTGGCATCCAACCACGCAGTATCTCATATGGATTTAATATGATTCTCTAACGTCTTTGACGAGTTTGTTTCGATCTCGCTTAGCTGGTACCCAAGCCCTGTAACGACGAACTTCATACGAGAGTATTACGAAGTAAAAGTAAAAAAGAGTGGAATTTCGAAAGCTTTTTAAAAAGCAGTCATCGCATCATCAGTTCGTCGCCAAAGAGCTTATGTATCAGCGTGGCAAGTTCGAAACGAACTCGTCAAAGATGTTGGGGAACGATTTTAAATGCATCTGAGATACTGCGTGGTTTGATGCCAATTTAAGATCTCTTCCAGCATGGGTGCCAACCTTACCACATGACTGCATTGCTTCATCATCTCAGCTCATGCAAGGAACACGAACAGCATCAGGTTTGTCATAAAAAATTGGTACTAAACTTGTGTGAGAAAAAGCTCACTCTCTGCAATCCAATCGGGAACGCTCCAGCCCGCTTATCTCAGGACTCCGGGGAGAATTGCTCAACCGGCATTCTACAACATTCAAGATGAAATGAAAATCCTTAAGCAGCAAACGAAGCCACAAGCAAAAGTTGGAAGATCTTAGTGAACATTGGATACGAGGATAAAAAAGGATAAAGGATAAAGCTCTCGGCGTTGATCAATTCTTGAAGGATGCGCCATGCATCTGACTTCATTAAATATCGTTGGAGGTGACTGAATGCATATCCGGCCTTTACAATAACTCGCGGTTGCCTACCGATATATCGAGCCAGTGCTGCTATCCTCCCAGATAAGTCCGGTACCAATTTGCCGATCCCGGAGGGATGGAAGGCTTCGTGGGCCATGAGCGCGGGGATCGATTCCACGTGTGTGTCGCAGTGACGCCTCCAAACACTGCGCCACACGCGGTTTAATCCCAGTTTCTACAGGATGCAAGGAAACGAATCGAATGGGAGAAGCACTGGGATCCGCAGAGCAAATGTGAAGATGGGTCATATAAAATGAAAAAAAATTACTCTGTACGGAGTATGCTTATCAATCTCACTTTGAAAAGTAGCTGAATCATTTGTGAACTTTTGTGAATTAACTAGAAGAACTATCTGTCGAGTGATATTGAAAAGTCTACTTCTCAGTCCATATGGTTCATTTAATAATCTGACTTTAAACACATCCCAGGCGATGTGTTCTTTTATTTCCTAGGATACAAAGTCGTACAAGTGCGAGGTATTTTTGCAGAAGTTCATTAGGTGCAATGTAAAATCTGTTGTTATTTTTTTGCCGAAATAGTGTTTCAGTCATCAGCTCTTCCGAAGGATGCTGGTGCGGAACGCAGTCTCATGGCTACAGGCAACACTCTGTCCAATACCACTCCTTCACGACGCTCGTTGCTTAGTCCTCCTTGTACGAGCACCAACGCCACTTTATGTCCCACTTCAAGTTTTAAGTAAGTTTATAGTAGCTTCTTGCGAAAATAATCGCTGTTACGGACCGTGTGTACTATTCCTAAGGCCAACCTTCTATTAACTTCGGCACTAAGTGCTAATTCACTGTTTTATTCACCAGTGAGCAAACGCGACGTTAGTATTAGAGAATTTGTTAGCACAATAGCTCACGTATCGGCGGTTTCGCTTTGTTAAGAGCCTCAGGAGGTCAAATTGACTTGTAATCTACTCACCCTAACACCTTCATAACCTTAGCAGATAAGACTTAACATGTAAATTTGCATTCGCGTAGTGAACAGCTTCGTCTACACCCACCATTCTATTCGCTGTAAGTATTTCAATTAATCGGTGAAAAGCAGCCACACAGAGTAATGGATGGGCGAAGGATGTGTCTCGGTCAGGTCATAGAATCAGCTTGAGGTATGGTGTGAGGTCACACGTGATCACAGGACACTCCTCCTTGCAGTTCATTTTTGGATTTTCGGAATCAATTCGGAACGTTTCAAGAGTTTAGGCGCTGATTTTTTGGGTTCCTGTGTTTGGTTGGCCACTTTTATTTCAAGATCTCCGTTATTTTTTAGATTCCATGTGCGCCTAGCGGAGTGTTTTGTTTCAATTTAAATTTACCGACTAGGTGTTCTTTTAAATAGATGTGGAGTGGTCGACCCGTTTCGTCAAATGAAAAGGTATTAGGCTATCATTTTGTGATATGGAGAGTTTAGAGTAGTTCCTCGCCATTTAGATGTTGAGATGACGGAGGAACGTTTTGAAGGTGCTTCGCTTTATCGCGCATCATCTGAAAAGGAATTCAAAGTTCGACATCGAGGATTGAACAACGATCGGGTCAAAGTGGCAAGCGGCGTGCCTGCCTTTAAAACCATAAAATATTTTGCATCTTAAGATCTAATTATCGACACGTCCCATCTTATAGTTACTTGTCGGAATTCGTGAGTTAGTATCCTCTGATGATCTGGCGTCTACGGACGCTTCAACCTTCAAGGATTCAACTCCATTGTGCAGAGCAGACGGGCTTACCGATAGAATGGGTTGGTTTACAAACGCAAAAACATAGCGGGGAAGATTTTGAACTAAAAGTAGCTATCTAGGGATGGGAATCCAAAACACCGGCGCGTAAAACTCTTGAAACGTTTTGGATTAATTCCAAAAATCCAAAAATAAACCGCAAGGTGGTGTGTCCTGTGACCACGCGTGAACCCACATCATACCTCGGGCTGATTCTATGACCTAACCCAAGCACATTCCTCGCTCACTTATTACTCTGTGCGACAGCTTTCCATCGATTAGTTGAAATACTTACAACGAATAAAACGGTAGGTGTTTAAAAGAAGCTGTTTATTGTGCGAATACAAACTTATTTGTTAAGTTTTATCTGTTAGGGTTATGAAAGTGCCAGGCAGAGTAGATTGTATGTTAATTTGACCTTTCCAGGCTCTGAGGAAGGCAAAACCGCCGAAACTCAGCTAATCTATAATACCAACATCGTCGGTGCTCATTGAAGAAAAACGTGAGTATTATATTTTTATAAGTGGGTTCGAACGCAACTTTATTAACTCACTGTGTATCCTGATGAGCAAACGCGAGGTTGTTACTAGAGCATGTATCAGTTTTCACATATTTTACACATTTCCCATCTGGTTGAAATGCCTTTCTGAAATGGCCGATTCCATCGGAATATTTGCGTATCAATTTTACGACTGCGAGTGATTGAACAAGAAGTGGTTCTCAAGCCTTTTTCGTACCACTCGTTTTGTGACATGATGGATGTCGACTATTTAAGTAGTGTTTAGTATATTTTTAGAATTCCACAGTCTCATTTAGCACCAATGAATGTGTTTCAGCCAGCGAACACCTGTTCTGCCGTCTCTACGCTACCCTCATCAACAACCGGCTTCGGAAGAGCGATCACTCAGTCCATTCCGTGAACATTCTACTAAGCAAGCTTCATCGGCATCATGGAGAGTTCCTCCATCATTATACTCACAAACAGAAAGGTGGAATCGGTCGAGGTTAAGCCGGCATATGTCGCTACTTTCCGATTCTTCCTATCCAACTCGGATTCCACCTTATTCAACGAGAAAGAGAGATTTTGTGAGTGGCATTCCACAGTATTCTCCATCACATCGTCATTCACACCATACGCCTACGACCTCAAATCGAGCTAGGATGCATGGAAAGACATCTTCCACTGAAACTGAAGACATTCCTTACATGAGAACCACTTTACTAGAACAATGGAAACGATTCGCTTCGTCGCTTGAGCAATCAGGGAAAATAGCGTTGAATAGGGAAGAGGTAGTTAGCTTGAATTTTTGTATATTTGTCTTCTCGAATCCTGGAGAATCGTAAGCGCCCCAGTAATGTTTTAATTTCATTGATGATTTACTTGTTTGGCCAAATTTTCTTTCCCTGGAGTTTCGAATGCCGTTCTAGCACTTTTTCTGGTTATCACCATTAGCCAGAGAGTAGCTCTGTTGTTAACAGTATGTATTCTTGGCAGTACTCCCGGCGGTTTACCGCCTCGTCGTGGCTGGGAGGTGTTCCTGGGTGTCGGGCTGCGATGTGCAGCAGTGGGATTCGCCCTCCCAACAGTGTCTCCCAGACTAAAAACGAATCCAGCGTTTCCAGCAAGAAGCCCAGCTAAGAGTTAACCAATACCAAGATCCACCACCGTCCTGGTCTCAAACTAGTCGCATGGTGACAATTCTCCCTTTTATCCCCAAGGGTCGGCTGTTCCTTGTTCTCTTCATTGCATACTCGATGCTCTAAACAGCTCCCTAAGGCGCTCATTTCTTTTGCTGAACTCTGGAGCTAAGTCGTTCACCATGTTGATTTCTTAAATTAGGGAGACGTAACTGGAGAATTCGTAGATATTCATACCGTTGAGCTTGAATGGAGCATATGTAACTAATCCGTTCCTCATGAACATCGTTTTTGTGAGATTTAGTCGAGGTCCAATTTCTGTACAGGCCTTATCGAGGTCAGCAAGCATTCGCTCCGCCTGGCTGTTTGATGTTGTAAGACTGATTTCATTAGCAAAGCGAAGAATTGCCGATCATTGATTTTCACTCACATGTTTTCCCATTCCAGTGTTCGCATGGCGTTGTTGAGAGTGGCGGTAAATAATTTCGGTGAGATGGTATCGCCTTGCCTAACGCTTCCCTTGATGTCGATGTTAACATGGCTTATGGAATAATGTTATTTTGATTGTGAAATCTTTGTATGGCTCGCAAAGAATTCTTGTATACTAAACAGTAATGCCTTGGCTGTTCAGGGCTTCTATGATTGCTTCTATCTCACTGTGTTAAAAAGTTTTCTTAATATGATGAAATTGAGACAGAGAGATCTCTTGACATACTTCAGAGAGTCTTGTCATTATGTGGATTTGGTCCATCGCACTGTATCCTTTTCGAAACAGTGCTTGCTCCCGTGGCTGTCCTTGGTCCACTTTTCTCACAATCCTGTTTAGAATTGACCGTTTGCAAAGTTTGTAGGCGACAGACAGCAAGCAGATTCGGCGATAGTTGCCGATATCGTGGATGTTGCACTTCCCGAACAAGAACACAGTTTTGGTGGTCTTCTATTAAATGGGAACCGTACAGTCTGACAGATAACGTGTGAAGAGCCGAGCGAGTGTATTGATATGGGCTGGCGAAAGGTTCTTCAGGTGTTCAGATCCTCAGGTGTACTACCCATTGGGAGAATCTTCAGGTATGAGATCTTCTGTCCAGACCAGGTGTTCGATATTTAACTAACAAAATATGGAGTTAGATTTCGGAAGGGAGAACGGATGGGACGACATATCCACCCTCCTTTTTTTTCTTACGGGTGCTGGATCACTTTCCTTTGAGGAGATTCGGGTAGTAATCGTGAATAATTTTCCCTATTGCCTACCTGGAATCTGTAACCATTTTATCTGGGACTCTGAGTGCAACCATCTTAGTTTTGTAATTGGCGAATTTTCCCTGAGCTTTGCAATTATTTTTGCCAGTTGCTGCAGCTTCAACCATAACAGCGGCTCTTCTCTTTTTCAGATCTTTTATTGTGTGTAACTCATTGTTTTATAACTACGGACCAGAGCTGGTGGGTCCCTATTGGTCACGCGATTCCAGCCTGCGTATTAACTCGAGTATTTCTGGGTATATACGTCTCTTGGTAATTTTTGAACACTCGGCATTCATGGCGCTAACATGAAGATGTTGAATGAGCTGATCGCATTCCTCGCCGTCGTTACAGACAACGGCATACTCCGAAAAGCCGACTGATGCACTGAATACGTTTCAATCTATGGTGGTTTTGCGACTTCATTCTTCTAATTTATGGGCTTTTTATCCTTACCGCGAGAAGCTAAATCTTGCACGAGGGACGCGGTGGTCTGATCCTCTGTAGGATTTTTTGTTAACAGCGACATCAGGTGAGGAAAACCTTCGATTTACTATGATGTGGTATATTTCGTTGTGGTACTACCCATTGGGAGACTCTCATGTCCACCGTTGAGAGGGGGGCTTCTGGAATTGCGTGTCATCATGCATGATCTTGGTCATCATGCCATACTCAGACAGCTGCTCACCCTGTTCGTTTCATTCTAACCCGCAGATTACAATGAGGCGTTCTTTATACGTTTTTCTGGGTCCAGTCATAGCGTAAAAATCTCCACCTTGAAGAATGCATGGTCTTCTCTGTAGAATTTCTCCAAGTCTGTATTAGAATGCTTCGATTTTGGCTTCGTCATAGCTTGATGTCAGCGCGTAAACGACGAATTTGTCAAAAGCGGAGTTGATCAACATATTTTTAATCGTAAACGTCCGATTGGGGTTGTTAGTTGTTCGAATGGATCCACGTTCATGACCAAAATCATGTTGACGAGAAATCCGATGCCGCTTACTCAGCTGCTGTCGCATGTTCCGAAGAACAATTTTTCTCCGATCTCATAGACTGCGTTGAATGGGTGGTGTCCTCTCGTTTCCGCCAATCCGATTACGTCACATCTTATCTTTCTTGCCTGCATGATCAGATCCTGTGTCGAGGAACTTAGACGAACGTGAACGTGTGTTGTGGGTACAGATCGTGACCTTAGTCCTTTGCGATTTAAGGAGACTAGGTTGGCCTTGGGATTTTAACAGCCTCTCCGTACTCGTCCTATCCAACGCTGACGAATCGGGACCTCTTTTGAGGTTAGAGAAATGAAGCTCGTTTATTTTACTGTGCTTGACATTTTGATACCCATGTATAGTCTGCTGGGCTCTGAACGCGGACGATAGGTATACTCAAGGATAGCTTGCCAGTCTGAGTCTAGAGTAGCCAGGGACTTTATTTGTTGGAGACAGCTCCTAAGCCCCTTCTATATACTTCGCTGTTAGTTGATTGTAGAATTTTGAGTGAATTGACTCGTAAAATACAATCCGAGTAAGCAAAAACACACCCATACATGCATTCATGAATACGTGCTCGTAAACATGGAAGGTACCTGCCAAATCGGCGCAGCAGAAATCCGAATCCGAACCCGTGGATCCTACTACCACCTAGGTAAGTGAAGTTCGCTTTTGGTCTACGATTAACCCCTATCCGCTACCATCCGGAGAAACGCCACGTTACCTTGTGCCTTGTTGCTAACCGCCGTGAGGTTCCTCTGTGAGAGAGCTCCTTGGAAGTAAGTTGGTAGATTCGAGATTTCCAAAAATCTACGAAGCGACCCTCTATCCTGATACGCAGTCACTTGTGTAGTGCATAGTTAATTGGAATGCATGTTAAATACGCCTGAATTTATCGACTCCAAGCACTTTAATTTTTATGTTTTGTCTACAGTACCTTAACATGTAATGCTCTGCATTGATTTCTAGTACTTTATATATGTTGCAAAAGTAATCACTTTCAAGTTTAAACCAAAATAACTCCTAAATTTTCGAACCAAAGACACCAACCAGGCGCAGGTGTTATTATTCTATTAAAGTGAAGATCTATGGGGCATATTTTTGTTCTCTTCTTTCGTAGAGGGCTATGTTTTGAGAATCAAAGCCGCTGTAGAAGCTGAATTTAGTCTAATAGGGCACAGTGGTGTTCTCCGATGTTTTATTGGTATTTGCAATTTTGGCGCTAGAATGGGAATTTCAAAATTCAACCCTTTCACGAGCGCACCCATTTCCACTTAGCAGATTACTGAATGTCATCGACGAGCGATCGTAGTTCACACTGAAGCCAAGTTGTGCTCTCCATGAGTCTTGTTAAAAGGCATGCTGCATCGGTTTCCTGCGGTTATCGCTCTATTGCTCGGTTCCCTTATATTTTTTCTTTGTCTCTCTAACTTTTATTTATCCGCTGTGTTTTTCTGTGTATGTTTCCATGTTTTTGGAAAGCTGTTGTGTGTGATGAGATGATGATGATTCGTTTATTATCCAACCACGATGTTGTCAACTTTTCTAGTGGTTTTATACCATATCTTAAGTATATTTTCTATCCCTCCTTTTTTATGTCCAGCGACTCTATCTCTCCCTTCGGAAACGAATGTATAATGCATTGAGAATACCTATCCATGGCTTGATCCACTATAAAATCCCCATATAAAGTATAAAACCAATATAAAACAGTAATTTTGCGTTTGACAAGCTACAAATTCGTTATAAAGTCTGGTATGAAAACTTTATGAGATGAATTAGGCCAAAAGAAGCGTGCGCATTGGAATCAAGATGTACAATCTGAAATCTACAGCAGTGTAAATATCGACATAGATGCGTATTGTCGGGAAAACGTTAGATTTCACTATTTAGTTTTTGAAATGTATAGTTCTAGGCAAATTTGAACTCTTAATCAATATTTTGGAAAGGTTGTAAGTAACAGTCATCGAAATCGATTATTTTAATGCGTAGAAATCTTCTTTAACACATACTCGTCTATCTCAAACTTTTTGTAGCGCGCTCTTAGGACGACTGCACCTAGGTTTTCGCTATATTCGTTTAAAAGGTGCGTTTGAAAAAAGTTTTTTTTGAGCTATAGAGTGTAGCTCACAGACCACCTCTAACAATTTGGCAAATGAACTCTTTGTGAAAAAACACTTGGATAGAATAGGCCTTGGAATCAGGAGATACCGTTTGTATGCCATATGTTAGTGCAACAGAGGCAAGTCGGTTCTGAAATTTTGTGAAGTTCTGAAGTCCATAGAAATTCAGGTGATTGAAGATCTTTCCTGTGTGCTAAACATTGAAGGGCCATCGTCGTATGGATATGTGTCGCTTTCTAAGTGTTGTTTTTACTTAGCTTTTAATTTACATTTTCTTAGGGGTGCGGTCATGGGAATTGTTCAGCTGTAAGTTATCGAGTGCTTCGCTCGTGTTGGCGTCGATTACATATCCGTTCCTGCTTTGTTGGACAATGTTGGACTACTCGTTGGACAATGACTTACTTTCAAATGTGTTCTATTAATCGGTGTAATTTTGCCTCGTCAATAATCGGTCCTAATCACCTGTGTAGCGCTACAGTTATGAATTTCCGAGATTTTCAAGTCATCTGGATAACAAAACGCCTTATGAAAACCGAAAATTTGTAAGGGTCCACATGTGTATTCTGTTTTTTTTGGATTAAAGTGAGTTTTGGTAGACAAATTTTTTGCCAGTTAGTCAACCACAGAAAAACGGCCTCTTTTATCTCTAAGTATATATATATATATATATATATATATATATGTTTGTATTTGCTTTTTGCTAGAGAAATTAAGTATCATGGATTTTTTTTACACTGGCAATGTTTTCAGTCTTCATGGGCTCGCTCGTCTCCTCAAGACTTCGACAGTCACACTAATGATTCCGTAATTGCTCCTCTAGGCGAAAACAGTGAGTCTAACGTAGTATTATAGCTATCGTTCTACCTATTTTTCTTTTATTTTCGTCGCCGTACTTGTTGCAGAATAGCTTCAGGAAAAAAAACATGAAAGTTTTTGAATAGGAAACATTTGATTCACTTTTAGAACCTTTTGAACTGTTACTATAAGAGGACTTCTTGAACAATCTTTTGAACAACTGGAAAACCGTAGCTGGACAAGTGAAATAAATTTGTATATTAGTCGTAGATTGTTTTGAAAGAGTACTCTGAGAAACATTTGCTTCTGAACAGCAGTTTTTTCATGAGGACGGTCGAGCCATATAAAATTAAGAGTTCCTTGTTAAAGAGGTGATTGACGAATGGAAACGATAAGCAGTTACAAGCTTAGGTGTTTATCAATTGCAGGTGATGAAACGAAACGTGTAAGACACACAGAAACCAACTTTCAACGAACCCGTTCCCACACAGGAGACGTCGATGGCGACCGAATTTTGCGCCGTTGTAATCACGACGCCGAGCTGGAGCGCCAACCTAATCCGCATCGTAATCATGCAGTGCGACTAAACCGGAAAAAATACAGCAGTGAGCAACGTAGACGAAACCGTCAAGAGTGGAGAACGTTCACTAATAGTCCAGGTACAGCAGAACGATCTTGTTCAGAACGCTGTCATACTCGCTCTTCTCGGAAAGCTCATTTTCTTATCTCGGACGGTCACAAATCATCGACGCGATATAAGTCGTCGAGCGGCCAAAGTTACGAGAAAGGCGAGTTTATGTGAAGATGAGAAAGCTGGGAAGCATTGCAGGTGTGTAAGTCAATCTACTTCAGAATTCTTCTGAACATCTGCACCTATTTTGCCATCGTCAAATGTACCGTGATGAAAAGGTGACGAGTGGTGGCGTCACATAATAAATGGATGCATGTATAACATCGCTTTTCGAAGTTTTTAAAGTTTTTATGACCCATTCCATTATTTTGCCCAAACTTAAATTTGGTCCCTGCAGGCAGTTTCAATTCTTAAAAAGAATGACAAGGAGACACTAAATGAGGGTAACTGTGGATCGCTGTAGTTCATGCTCTAAATTCATCATCTTGAGATACTCTCTAAATACCAAATCAAAAATTAAGCATCAAAATGAAAGTCGCTAAAAAGGACTTCTTTTGTACTCCTTATCGATTGAAACCACTATCAGGATGGACATCGATGTGTTCGAACCTGAAAGTTGTCACCTTCCGTTCCTCTATAACACCACTTATAGCCAATGAGTTTCTATGCTGTTCTGGTCGATTAGTTACTGAGGCAAAGGTGGCAGTTTTATTAAGGCCGTTAAGATCAGGCGCCGACAAACAGGAACGTTGCAGGAACGAGTTCGAGGAGGATACCGAGGTTTTAAAGATCAAGAAAAAGACGAGGATGAATTATACACCAATACCTTGCTTTGTTTTCTCTTTAAATTGGGAATAAAAATATGTAGGAAAGCACTTGAAGTCGACTTCTGTCTTGGTTTTCGTAGTTTACTAAGTACTGCGCACAAGTTTTACTTAGTAGCTATAATGAATTATAGTAAATTTCTACATTTAATGTGGTAAATTTAGGAAGTTAACATAAAGGTAACCTTATGGAGACTATCCTCTACCTCTTAAAATGCTCTCTATTTCTTAATACTACCATATATTTAGTGCATAATTTGTATGAGGTCTCACAACGTGAAGTTCCTACCAATAGAGTTCTTCATAGCAGCTCGGGAAAAGTGCTCGCAGCGTGTTTGTATGTCAACAACTGCATAACGGTAAAAACACTGGCGACGAATAGTCACCCTAGCGTTGCCATATCTGCCCTCAGACGGTATCCAGTGGGGTTGCAGTCAGTGACGAGTTGATATGTAGTAGAGATTCTATGGTCGCTATCATGCTTCTGGATCATTTCTTAACTGCACTCACTCATCGTTTTGTATCACCGTTGGATTGAAGCTGCTCCTAACTCTGCATATGCACGCTGTTAACTGTTATTATTGCCACTTTGTTATTGTTTTAACATTGATGCAACGGACAAGTTACCCAAGTGTGAGGTCCAATGTGTGGCGTCTACAAAAGTGCCGCGTGGCAATTCTTCGAAATTCGAACATTCTCTATTGGTGTATTCGAATTCCACTGAACTATGGGTTCGATCCTAAATTGAGTACACTCTCATCTCTTTTAATGGCCGCTTATAATGCATAGTTTTAACAAACGTTGTTTTCACGTTTAAGATTCAAACGTTCGAAAAAAAAAGAAACTGAGGAAATCTGCAGTTTTACCAATTCTTGTCAAAAACCTGGGAATCTTTAGATATCAGCAATGTATTTAGGGGTTCCATCGAATCTTGCTGGACAATACGGTCCATTATTTAGTTGGTTCGCTGTTCGAAATACCGGTAAGAAACACACTTTGGGAGCTCCAAAAAATTAGCCTTATTGTTGAAGATCCAGGAATGCATTATCGCTCACATATGCATTAGACCACATCATAGTAAATCGAAGGTTTGTCTAACTGATGTTGCTGTTGTCCCAAAATCCTATACGGAATCAGACGGCCCTTGTGCAAGATTTCGTTTCTCGAGGAAAGCAGAAAAAGACACTAAACTCAAAAAACGAAATCCCTAAAACCGCCATAAACTGGAAGTTATTCAGTTCATTAGACAGCTGTTGGAATATGAAAATGGAACATAATATGGAATACAGAATATAATGTGAAGATGAAAATGTCATCCCAACTGTCCTCCCGAAATCCGGCAGTGTCCTAGAAAAGACCCGGTACGATGAACCATATCCAAGCGATAACAAGACTCACAGGTATCCTGAGAATGCAACAGACCTTTCTGTCTCACGTTCGTCAATTTTGTGAAAACTTTTAACTCAGTTGGGATAAAAATAGTCACTGGAAGCCTTGGATAGCCATGGCGTCCCTATTCATTCTAAAAAGGATTCTTCGCGAGCTATATAAAAATTCCGCAACTAGAATATTACCATTCTACAATAATGCTAACATTGACGTCAAAAGAGGGGTTATGCAAGGCGATACCATCTCGGCAAAATTATTTACCACCACCCTCCAGAACGTTATGCGAACAATGGAATGGTATAATATGGGAGAAAATCGTTGGTCGGTAGTTACACCATCTTCGCTTTGTTGATGACATCGTTCTTATAACACCAAGCATTAGCCAAGCGGTTCTAATGCTCGCTGACTTTGATAATGCTTGTGGGAAGATTAATCTTCGACTAAATGTCACAATAAAGGTCTTCGTTTCCATTCATGCTCAAACTAAATGAACAGCTCCGAACACTCCAAGTATATATCTAAATCGGCAAGTCAACGTAACGATTTAGCTCCAAAGTTGGGCAGGAGAAGCGAATTAATTGGGGAGCCTTCGGGAACATCGAGGATGTAATGAAGAGGCAAAGAATACCCAATTCTATGTCCACCTTTTCGAGTGTAGGATTCTTGTCTTAATGTAAAAAAAGGATAAATAAAGCTCTCTAGAGGGATGTGCCATGCATTTGACTTCATTAAATATCGCTGGAGGTGATTGAATGCATATCTGGCCTTTACAATGACTCGCGGTGGCCCACCAATGTATCGAGCCAGTGCTGCTATCCTCTCAGACAAGTCTGGTACCAATTTCCCGATCACGGAAGGTTGGAAGGCTTGGTGAGCCATGGGCGCGGTATCGCTTCCACGTGTCTCGCAGTGGCGCCTGCAACTACTGCGCCACACGGGGTTTCGTCACATCGTCGATCGTCGTATTTTGGGTCCAGCTCTTTTCCAGCGTTCGACGTTGTCGCTGACGTGCCTTCTGGTAGCCTTAACACTGAATCCAGCTCAGCGTGACACATCGATTGATGTTATCTACAGTTTATGCAACTATAACGACGGCAGCAACTTGCAAATTCAAAACCGAGGAGTGTGGTTCTTGCGAACCACATAGAATCTAACCTGATGTCCAAAAATACCCCACAAAAGAAAAATCAACAAGAATCAGCAAAGCGAAAACTAGAAGTGGTTTCTGAAATAGAATAACCTTCTCCGTCGATCTTATTATTGCGGCTTGTAGTAGCGCCATCTGTACCATTACGACACCGTATTTTTATCCCATTTCTTCAATACTAGTGAAGTCTAAAAACCTTGTCTAAATTTAATCTTGATGACCACAAGCTGTTCACAGATAGAAAAACTCAATCAATTTATATTTTGATCAAGCTCACAGATCATTTCCAAGGTCCATCGACAGAAATACGAAGACTAAACAACAACAAATGTCAACACGGAAGCCACATTCTTCGCTTATAACACGAAATCATAGAGAACAAAGCAAGTTTACATAAAATCAGGATGTTCAATAAGTAAACAGATGTACCTACATCAATGTACATTACTACAGAATAATTTATAAGACGTGAAGGAAAACTTAGGAAAGAATCAATGACAGACATCACATTTGGAAAGAACGACTCACTGCTGACTGCTCACAGGTCAGCTGGTTGCTCAGAAATGTGTAACTATACTGCACTAAATAAATATTATACATAGAAACAGTATGTATATCCACTAAGGGAATTACTTCTCAATAGCCATATTTTCGATTGCGTCCCTTGTCCATTTAAAAACGAGGTCTCGTTCAGGATCCACTGTCGAAAAGTCGAGCGGGGTGGATCTCTGAAATAAGTATCTTGTACGGTCTTGCAGCAGATTTCACTCTTTAATAAAAAAAAAAGTGGTCGGGATACCAATATTAACACCCACACGACCACCCACAATTCTTGCCGCACTCATTATGATGACTGTAGAAATCATAGAGGCAACAAAGTGAATCGTGTGTTGCTGCAGTTTCAATCACATATAAAAGTGTTAATTTTAACAAAAGTGTGTAATCTGATGATCCTGCCGACGGTTTACTGCCTCATCATAACTGTGAAATGTTCCTCAGTGTCGGACTGCGATGCACAGCAGGGGGATTGATCCCCTAGGCAGGTTCTCCCAAGCTCAGGAGTCCGGCTTTTTCATCAAGAAGCCTAACTAAGAGTAAAATACCATGATCGTCCTGGAACCAAAATAGTCGTGTGGTGGCAAATCTTCCTCTGATCCACAAGCGCGGCCACTGCCGTCGGTGGTAACGATCTCGGGCAGGCTTTGTCCAGGCTGACTTCGGGACTCCGGAGAACAACAATGGCTTAACCAGCAAATCTCCGAAAAATGGAGATTATGCTGGGGCTCGCACAATCAGGGCCATTCAAGTATCAAGTATATATATGTATAAGAATATATACATATATACAAACTCATTTAATAGCTCATCGAAAGGAGACGAAAATAGTAGGGGTAAGAAAAGTTCATTGACCGGAAATTCGACTAGCAATTAACTTTTACTTAATTTTGATCACTATCTTCATTATATTGAAGGCGCGGGTATGAAGAAAAGAACACCGAAATTGAGTACTTGCAGGTATCAATAGCAATGCATAACGAACCGTAGTAACACACAGTAAATAGTAGTATACATATCACTCACACTCATAGAAAGAGAAAGAAAAGTCTCTTCTATAGTGCTTTAGCGTTCTTAACCCTTCAAGAACCCTAGCTTTTAAAAAAGCACTTTTCTTGTCAAAAAACGAAGTCCGCAGACGGCACCGGAGAGTAATAGGATAACAGATTTGGAGAACTTTAATAAAAAATCTGAAGAGATGAGATCCTTGACAGTGAAAATGGGAACGATGCAAGGAACGGTTAGGATGAAGAAAGAAAATAATAGTGAAGGCCTAGCAAGAATGGTGCTGAAATTAATCTAAGCAAAACTACCCACTGAAATTACCTGAGTACATGATCCAGTGACTCCAATAAGGTACGCAGCCACTACATAATTGCGTTCACGTAGTATATTTCGGATTGAATCAAAAGCACGACCACCATCAACGGGACACGAGATGGCAAAATAGAACCAGCGTTCGAATTCATCACGGAACTCATCTTTAACATGGTCTAAAGTGACAAATGACGATTAAGAACCAGGAAGATACTAAGAACCAGCATGACAATAGAGATGAAAACAAACCAATACGACTTAGCGACCATTCAGCAGCCCTTGCCCAAAGTCTGGCCAGATTCTGTACCCGATGGAGTTTCTTTTCTTGCCTAAGAAATTGATCAGGGTACAAAACTGGACAAAGATTCTTCATAGCTTTTAGTCTCACGAAAGCAACTAAACTGATAATTTTTTCGATAACTGGATTGAAAAGTTGCACTTGAACGGGAAAATAAGCGGGACACCAAACCGAATTAGTTAAGCGGAGAAGTATTTTTACTTACCGACAATAGTTCAGTAATGTGACAAAAATTTCCCGTTTTTGCGCCGACTGCAAACGATTCAGTACCATCTCAACCACCGAACAATCCGCAATTTCGTTATCAATAATAAGAGACGCAACCAAGAAAGCAAGCTTAAAATGGTTTAGATAAAGTGCGAAACTTTTCAAAATATCGAAGGTTTATCTTTGAAAAACAATAGTACACATTCTCGTTAAGACAAACCTGAGGAGTCCATCTCGCTCCAGGAGCCACCAGACCACGAACAATCACTGATTTCTCCTGTCTGCGGAATGTGTCCAGAGGAATATCAACATGCGCCAAATCCAGTAAACGTCCATATAACACAGCATCCAAGTCAACACTACAAATAGCCGTATTGCTATGTACAAGGTCTAAAATTGCCAACTTATTCCTCAAAAGACAAAAACAGTTCTATAAACTATTCGAAACATATACACAGCATCGTGCAATCAAGAAAGTTCAAGATGATTACCTATAAGGATAAAAGCAACATAAGAAATTCTCATGGTGCTGAGATATTTGCAAAACTCCCGACAGCGGGTGTCTGCGGTGGGGAACGAACGCGCTATTACCATTTCCTGTGGCCAACGCATTCACTACCACACCACGCAGGTCCTTCAATTCGCCTGTCGACTGTCTCTCAGCCAGTTTAGTATCTGCCAGTGCCACCAACCGTATGGTCTGGTAATGAACGCGTTAGCCCCCGCAAGGGTAACAGCGTGTTCGATCCCTACCGCAGACGCCCACAATCCAGAGTTTTACAAATACCTTAGCACATGATGGTTGTATTTCATATAATACCCTGCAGTGAAAAATTGTAACAGGCAGCAAATAAGTCAACATAGGCAATTCTATTTTCACTCACCAAATTTTCAGATGATCGTAGTTAACTTTTTTCAGCTGCTCGTCAGTGTATGCACGCAAGAGAACGCATGCTGCGCGCACAATGGTTCTGAATCCACCAGCAACATTAGAAGCTTCCTTCAACAATCAGATAATTGGATATACTTATTCTGGAACCATGTCACACTCACCCTTCTCATATATGAGATCAAATCTGGCATGATTTTTTCCATATCTATCAGTTTGAGGACAAACACGATTCTAAATGGCACAATAAACTGACAAAACAGTAATTAAAGAAGGAATATGGAGTATGAAAGCTGTCATTCCTTCTCACCTATCAATTTCAATATCGAAAAATGGAGAAAGGAAGATCTCATCTTCATTCGAGCAATTCATTGGAACGTCCAAGCCAGCGTTTCCCATAGTCTAAGATATGTTATACACTAGGCTATCACAGAACGGTAACTAAACACTACAGCTGAACAGTAGGGCGAAACTGGAACTTTGAGAACATACGGTAAAACATACAAAGGACAGCCATTTCTAGGTGGATAACTCACATCATTTGGATCCACGGAATACGCCTCCTCCACCTTATCCGCGATTAGCCAATTTACCACCAAATTCTCTTGAATTTGCGCCAAATTCGTAATATGGTTGGCTCTTGCAAGTTGCTCTACTACCGCCATTTGTTTCACTACAAATACAGAAGCGCTACTCATTAAACGTCAAATATTGAGACAACACTCAAAATAACAGCGTAATGAAGAACTAACCCCTCTCGTTTTCCGATTTCCAATTAATACTGTTGGAGTAGATGTGGCAAATCAGATCAGCAGGAGACTCGATTAGATCACATGTCTTCTCATTGTACAGTCCATTCTACCAAAACAAAAAAAAAGAGAAATATGGATACATAAATGATCAAGCATCTAGTGGTTGCCGTCAAGTAGAAGACATTCCTATTTCATCAAAAGACAAGGAATCCAGCAAAAGCAAATACCTTCTTCAAAATCAACTCGGTATTGTATCTCTCGATTGCAACGTTGAGACGGTTTACTTGCTCTTCAACTTCCACGCGTTCATTTCGATCCATCGGCTGGATATAAAGGACGAATTCCCAACACCGATTTAAAGCCGTCACTAGTAAAACAGTCTCGCATTACTTCTTACCGGCTCTATGTCCGATGCTGTTAGCCAGTGTTGTGCAACATCTCTGCCCACCTCCATTAGGCGTATTTTTGTCTCACCTTGAAAGCGTATTATAAGGTTCTAAACAGAAATGTTGAACTATTGGTTCCAACCTGCACATTGCGTATTATACGAATTTCAGTTTATGAACTAATACGGTGTCAGTTTATTCTCTAGTACATCTACAGAAGCACTGATAGAACTCAAGATTTAAGTGGTAACCGGAATCACAGGTGACAGACTATTTGCCGAATACAACGCATTCGGAAGCAAATCAGGAGTATGACAAATTCCTACTTACTTAATTCTTGAATGGACCGTCCTCACTGTTTGTGCGGGCCCCAGCGTAATCTTCATTTTTCGGAGATTTGCTGGTTAAGCCATTATGGTTCCCTGGAGTACCGAGTTCAGCCTGGCCAAAGTCTGCCCCATGTCTTCATTACGACAGGCAGTCGCACTCCTTGTGGAACAAGGGAGATTTACCACCATGCGACTTTGACACCAGGATGGTGGTGGTTTACTCTTAGTTAGGCTTGCTAATGGAAATGCCGGACACCTCAGCTTGAGAGACCCTGCCAGGGGATGAATCCCCCGCCGTACATCGCAGTCCGACACCCAAGAACACCTCCCAGCCATGATGAGGCGGTAAACTGTTGGGAGGTGACAAATTCTTATCTCCCAATATATCCACCTAACAAAGCACAACGCACGATGGCTGTCTTGAGCCAGGCTATTATTTATAGCGATACGGGCTTTCCCAATATAGTAGTTCAATGTTCTATAACAAGGTATGATCCTTACTTGAATACCTAGATGGCCCGTCCTCACTGGTTGTGCGGAGCCCAGCATAATCCTCATTTTTTCGCTGTTTTGCTGGTTTAGCCATAGTGGTTCCTTGCAGTCCCGCAGTGTCGGCCTAGCCATGGTCTGCCCTAGGTTGTCACCAACACAGGCAATCGCCGCCCTTGTGAATCGGAAGGAGATCTGCCACCATGCGATTAGTTTGATACCAGGACGGTAGTGGATCCCGGTATTGGTTTACTTTTAGCTAGGCTTCCCGATGGAGACACCGGGCTCCCTCGCAGTTTTGGAAACTTTGCTGGGGAAGGAATCCCTCAGCTGCACATCGCAGCCTGACACACCATCGTTGGGAGGAACAAGGTGTGAACGAACTGATGTGGATAGAAGACATCAGCCAACCCATATGTTTCGAGCACAGATCCTTCGACAAGTTCAATGATATGCTAATACTAATTATATAAGGTTAACACCCCACTGACGGATGATTGCTGTGGCAAAAAGATCGATAGAAATAGCTGAGAGACAGGCGAAACGAAGGACCCGCATGGTGTGGTGGTGAGCGCGTTCGTTCCCCACCATAGACACCTGCGGTCCAGAGTTTTCCAAATATCTCAGCGACGTTGTGGTTGTATTTCGCTTAGTAACCTGCCATGAAAATTATAGAAGGCAGAAAACTAAACGTTAAACATATATAAAGTTACTTAGAAGAATTTAGCTAAGTGGAAGGAGACTAGTGAGATTGACACCAAGAAATTCTAAGAGCTTTGAAACTATCCTAATTTTATGTTGCATCTGTTATTTTCCTCGTGCTTCATTGAAGGGAATTGTAAACCGAAAAAATTCTAGACTAGAAACAAAGTCTAGAAGAGAATTAGCAACCAAATTCTCCTTAAAATACTTCAGACTGCGCACAAACACAGCTACCAACATAGTGGTAAATTCTTGAAACACATAGCGACGCAGTTTACGACGGCATTTCTTGACGACGTATGCATGAGAAGATATTTGATGGTATCCATATCATGGGATGATAGATCCTCGCCCTGAAAAAGAAAAATAAAATAGAATCGTAGCCATTGAGTTATGCGTTAATGTAATCCGACAAAAATACACTCACATTAGCGATAACTTCTGCACTTATTGTTCCGACGGCTATTGAGAGAAGACGCGATCGAGAGAAGTGTGAACAGCTCTTCAACCAAGGCACACTTCGCAATAGTGCTTGCCAATTCTACATTGCAAACGTATAAAGCACATATTGTATATGAAAGACCTATGACACATTGAAAAAAGACCGCCACAGTTCAAAACAAACAGACATACGAGAACGTTGTAGATGTTAAGCTCTTTTTCAATAATGGGAACCAAGAATTGTTCAATATCGCTGGTCGCTAAATAGAAGAATGGGTGAACGGGTAAACGTCGTTTTGCCTGAAAGTACTTTTACCAATTAAAAACTGTCTTATGCTAATGCAATCACTTCTTACTTACTGCTTATTATTTTTCATGGCAGGATATGATGCGAAATATAACCAAAGTAATGCTGAGAGACTTGCAAAACTTCGGACCCCAGGTGTCTGCAGTGGGGATCGAGCGCGCTATTACCCCTTACGAGGCCTAATGCGTTCACCACCAAACCATGTAGACCTTTCATTTCGACTTTCTCTCATCCATGTTTTATAGGTGCTATGAGCAATCACCCGTCAAAGAGATTGATCTAGAAAGCACAAGTCAAAATTGAACCCAGTTAAACTGAAGCTGTAGTAGAATTCACAATGTAATCACTTTTCTTATACCTTTTTATTTTCTGCCTAATATAATTTCGCGGCAGGATACTAAGCGAAAAACAACCACAACGATGCTGAGATATTTGCAAAACTCTGGACCGCAGGTGTCTATGGTGGGGAACGAACGCGCTATTGTCCTTCTGGCCGCAGCTTAACTGGGTTCTATGTCGATTTGGACGCGTCAATACCGCTGACGGGTGATTGCTGTGGCAGAGATCAATGGAAATAGCTGAAAGACAGGCGAAACGAAGGACCCGCATGGTGTGGTGGTAAACGCGTTACTTCCCGGAAAGGATAATAGAGCGTTCGTCCCCCACCATAGACACCTGCGGTCCAGAGTTTTGCAAATGTCTTAGCAACGTTGTGGTTGTAATCACTTTTATTAACAGTACTTATTCCCTGTTCTTTAAATAAATAGATAATAAATAACGTAAATAAAAGTGATTACATTGTGACTTGTAATACAGCTCCAGTTCAACTACGTTCAATGCTGATTTATGCTTCCCGGATCTATCCCGCTGACGAGTGATTGCTGATAGCACCTGTAAAACGGCTGAGGAAAATGCGAAACGAACAACCCGCATGGTGCGATGGTGAACGCGTTAACCCCGGAAAGGGTAATAGCGCGTTCGTTCCTCACCGCAGACGCCTGCGGTCCAAAGCTATGCAGATATCTCAGAATCACTGAGCTTTATTCTACGCGAAATAATGAAAGTGAGCAAAATCTTTTAGCTATCATAGCGATCGTCTCGTAGTAGGAGAGAACAAAACGTAATATATAAACATTGACACCTGAAGTAACCGACAGAATACCAACATAAAAACAATCCTGCACACTTAAACATTCCACCTTCATGATGAACTGGATACGCCTCGGCACAAAATCCTCTTGTCTTTTCTTTTACCGATAACGTAGGAATTCCTTTCTCTGGAGTCTCAAGATAACAGTGTAAGGTCTTTTGCATTTTACATCTACTGAGAGCCAACTTTATGCATCGAAGGAAGGCTTTGCACCCTATGACTAGGCCACAAGATGGCGGCGATTCCTGGTATACGGTTGTTCTTAGCCGGACTTTCGGATGGAGGTGCTAAACTTCTCAGCAACATGGGAAACTCTACCTGCCGTAAACTGTAGTTCGGCATAAAAAAACACCCCAACCATGATGACGCGATGGGCAGTTATTGAATAAGACTCCCGTGATAATGCTAGTCTATCCAATTAGTGAATTAAGAAGGAAGAAAATTTGGGCGAATGAATGTTTGCAGCAATCCCAGTGAATTACATCAGTAGAGATCTACTATGGAAACACAAAAATAAAAGAAAAATGGAAGACTTAACATACACTTTCTTTCCTTAAAGAAGCAGAAGTCGTAAACGGACTAGGAAACATATTCGTATCTTTTAACAACATTTTTGAGATGTGAGCAGAAGTAGGGATCCGATGTGGAAATCGAGCCCGCGATTACCCTTCTGGGAAGCTCACATGCTATCCACTAAACTAACCGAGGCCCTTGTTTTTTCTCTTTTTCTTTTGTCCTTTTCTCTTTTCCCCATAAAGAGAGCAAAAGCAGTAAATACAAGTCAAAACACTGTGATTTCGACAGCGACAGAGTAAAAATACAGTTAACAGTTGAGATAAAAGCAAAGCAAAGGCCACAGTTGTCATGGTGGATAGCGGATGACCTGTCGTTTAATCGCAGATTCTAAACCCACACGTGATCCTGAGTTTTGCCCATACTTCAGCATTCCTATGGTTTTATTTCATAACGTGCCCTACCATGAAGAAAATAGGCAGCAAATAAAAGTCGAAACGATATTTTTGTTCTTCAATTCTCGAGTTTTTTTGCGAATAGAAAATTCCTACCTCGTCTGGCATCGCAACCATAACATCTTGTTCGTATAGGTTGTGCTCTTTGCCGTCTTGCATGAACGATATTCTGCTTGTATTACACGAACCTGGTCGCGTGCCGTTTTCGAAGAAATCTCGGCAATGTGCGCCAAAGTCCTCGATATTTGGGTCCTATAAAAAATCCTGATACTTCATTATCTCATATAAGATATGCAATTTTAACCAAATCGTCCACTAAAGGCACCAGTGGCTACAGATACCGTGCAACAGATGCATGGTCGCTGGTTCGACCACAGCCTGACTCAATTAAGGAACGATCTAGCATAGCAATTTCAGGATTCCAGCGAAATCATCCACAAGAACTTCATAAAGACCACAAAGTGCTACATAGGCAGCTGAACTCATATGCAGAGGTCTTAATAAATGACGGTGCATGATAAAGTCAAGATAGTGCTGGGATGCGCACAATACACGTAAAGTCGGGTTATAAATGAAATAAGGAAAAACAAATCAACCTTCCTATCATTGGCCATTTGTTTTTCGCGGTTAATATACCAAGCAATTTCGACTTTACAAATGGAATCATGACGACGATATTCCATGAGGAAGTCCAGGATCTAAACACTTTAACTGTAATGTAATATGGCTAGGAAAATGATCCTAGAATACAATCACAGGAAGAATGTGTTAATAGGGGCAACAATGACAAGGTGGATTAAGCCAAAGGGTCAAGGAATACCGATAAACATCCTGTGACAAACTCTCGATTTTCGTCATCACATATGGAATTCAGATGAGAAATAATGAATGCAAGAACCTGAAAACATTTTAAGCATGTGAGATAGAACAAGGTCCAAGAAAAAAAAAACTGGATAGGTCAAACTATTTACGTACAGCATAATTATAGGGGGAGACAGTATATAGAACTTCACGAAAGACAACGAGTGACTTTTCTTTTGAGATGGGCACTTCATTTACCTAAATAGTTATAAAATGCCACTTATTGTCTTGTAGCAATTTCACTGAACTTCAAGGCAAATGAAAAGAACTGCACCTTCAACGCTTGATATGCGACCTCGAGCAATGTAGAAACTTCGCGCTCTTCATTACTAGATGATGCCAACTGTACTAACTCAATAGCATACTGCAGTAAATACGTTGGCAATTCATGAGCACCACAAAACTCATCCACATATCTGAAATACTACTTGTATTACACAAAAACAAATCAATAAAACTCAAAAAAATGGAGATTATGCTGAATCCCGCACAACTAGCGAGGACGAGCCCTCCAAGTAACCGACCGTAAATAACATTGTTGTTTATAACGGAGAAGAAAAGGACTAACTCAGAAACTATATTTGGATCCAGCTTGTGCTTAGCGAATTCAGAAATCGCCACGTCGATGGATTTTCGTGGGAGTGCCTGTGGTAGACCCGCTTTCCCTAGTCGTTTCGCCCATAGTGCTTTAGTAAATGTATCCTACAAAATGTCTCATCGCAATGCGAATAAAAAGCTATGGACACGTAGAAATACTTAGGAAAAAATAAAGAAATTCAACCGGAAGATTCAATCCGAAATTTGGCCGCAAGTGTTACTTACTTGTTTAAGAAAATGAATTAACAATATCTCGGCTGTTTAGGGAAAGATAAACACATAATTCCTACCGTTAGCATTTTTGCGTGAGTGCTACTCTGTGTGAGGATCATAGAGAACTGAACAATACGAAGGAAATTGATCATTGTCTGTGGCGACTTCCTATTGACTATTATACTTCGCAGCTCCAAAACTATCTTAAAAAACACCACTGATGTTGAAAAACGTTCTAAGAATGCTACAGGAAGGAAGCATTATGGAATTCCAACCTCTTCAACTACAGATGGTGGTAATGACGATAGAAGAGTGCATGGTGTCCATAAATCACACGGATGTGCTTGCATTGCACGAAGACACACATTCCGAACTGAACTGCGCAATCCAAAATCTGGTCTAATTTTATCTTCCATATATTCCCAACAAGCTAAAAATGCGAAATCAAAATTGCAAAGCCTTTCCTGCGAACCTTGAAGAAAGTTCCATAGAAAATCACAAACATACCTAAGGAGGTGGAATACACTCTAGCTTGAAATTCTAGAAGATCTTGATTTGAAAGCGACAGAAAATTGAAGAAATCACTCCATTTCGCCGCTTGTTCCATGTAGAGTTCTGTCCTCACTTCGTTCCTGATATTGAAATTGCGTTTTCGAATGGAGTAAAAACTTAACTCTCAACATACTCCAGGTTTTCAGTTCCAACGACACTCCTCGCTACAGATGCAACGGAAGCAATAGCTTCCATACGAGCGAAAAGTGGGCCTTCGTTTCGCATCTGGTATACTCCCACTCGACGACGAACACCGTAAATACGGCTGAATGCAATGAACATGTAAATCTGTAAAAAATTTAAAAATCGGAACATTGAAGGAAAATTCAGACCATTCATCACTGTTGAGAAGTTTGTTACTTCTTTCCGATTCTTTTTCGTTAGTAGTCTCGGTTGTCGTATCGTCAAGCATACACTGCTTGACAACTTGCAGGAATATATCGACATAGCCATGCATCTAAATAGGAACGTGAAGAAATGCAAAGTTAAACTATATATGTAAAGAAAACTCGACATACCCTAGTAACAGCTTCTAAAAGTCCTAAAGAATGGTTGGTAATAGGTTCCAGAATAGGAAGCACTCTTGATAGAATGATGATCGAATCAGTGCACTAAAACCTTCATGAAAGTGCAGTGACAAAGACAGCTAAAACGCTTACCAAAGAATCACCTAATGGAATTACAGCTTGGGAGATCTTCAACAGTGAATATTCTCATCTCTTTCTAACCACGATAACACCAACTACAACAAACGAAAACCTTTATAATTCACCTGTCCAACAATATCAGGATCAGACGTGGAGTTCACTTTACCAGCACTTTCCTGAAGACACCAAAGGACGAATTCACAACCGTGAACACAGGCGTCAACTAATGCGTGTGATGCATTGGGAACACTACGAAGTGCGTCTCTTAAAAAGAATTTCTCAGTTTTTTCTCTCATTTTCTTTAAGGAGCAGGTAAAGTGCTCTACGAAACGAAAGCTTACTGATACTGAAAATGGATACGCACCTGATGACAGTGATAGCTCCCATCGAGTTTCCAGACTCAACTGCCAGTTTAATAGATAGACAACTGGCTTCATCCCTCGACATTCTCAATATGTTAGAGAACGAAAAAATCTGACGTAATATAGTATTAAACATAGCAATATTTACCCCGAAAAGAAAAACCGACATCGAGAAGTGAGCGTTCTTTGTTAACAATGAAGTTCTTCAGAGCATCCTCCCTCCATTTCTTATTTTCCAATTGTTTAGTGATCACGTACATGCCATGGTCTTCCTAGATTGAAACCTTAGTTGTATAGTTGGAAAAAGAGTGTTGAGTTAACCACCTGCAGTTTTCGAATGGAACACAAATGTTCATAAACCTCCATATAGTAACTATCACCGCTCATAAAACGTAAGATAACGCTCTCTGCGGCCGCGATTAGGCGTATCCTCTGAGTTACGGCACTCTGTAAACTTTCTGTTGCATACAAGAATCAATAAGAATTAAATTTTAACGAAATATCCTATACTGGCACAGAATATATAGTTTTGGTAAGTTCTGCTGTATACAACCTCGGTCCAGGCAATGATCGCTGAATCAATTTTCGCTTTCCAAGTATCAATAAGCTGAGAAACCACATCGTCCAAGACCTCACTGCCTCTATCTGCACGAAGATTTTCCAAAAATTGACATAGTGTGAGATCCTAGAAAGGTCCATCTATAGAGCATATTCAGGGGATTGTTCATGATAGGTTTAGAAAAAATATACATAGAGAAGAGGAACAAAAGTCCTACAGATGATTCAATTCTTTGAAGGTGCTCCGCAAACATAACATTAATGCGTACATGCGAAACCAACGGCGAATGATGTTCATTCAGCTGATGATAAAGGTCAACTACCTAAAGTTGAAACAGTGAAAAATTAAAACAAATAAACCTATAGTGCCTCCCAACGGTTTACCGGTTCAACGAGGCTGGGAGGCGCTCATGGATGTCGAGCTGAGATCTAGAGCGGGGGAGGATTCATACCCTAGCAGGGTTTTCTATGGTAAGCGGGAGTCTCGCATTCCATCAGGAATCCACGTTAAGAGAAAGAAATACCGAGATCTACCACCGTCCTGGTATCCAGCTAGGCGCACAGTGGCAAATCTTTCTCTGATCCACAATGGCGACAACTCCCTGTGGTGGTGACGACTTGGGGCAAACTTTGGTCAGTCTAACCTCGGGACCCCCGGGAGACACAATAGCTAAACCAGCAAAACCCCGAAAAAATGGAATTTATGATGGAGCTCGCATAACTAGTGAAGATGGGCCATTCGAATATGATGTAAACCTATAGTAATTATTACGTTTGATAAACAGGATAGTTGTGTAGAATGCAGAAGTACCTTCACAGCATCAGCCAAACGCTGGGTTATGTTATACCTTTCGTCGATGAACATAAAGCGAATAAACTTGACGAATTTGTATTCATATTCAAGGATAGGGTCAAGCATTATGAATGGTGTCGAGTAGACCAACATTATTTGGCTTAGCTCAGCGCGTCGACAAATCGCTTCTAACGACTTTTTTCTGGAAAAATTAAAAAGTATTGCAAGCAAAAGAAGAAATAACCAAATACATGGTAGCCTAATAAACCATTACACTACAATCTTACATAGATTGATCAACATGACGATTGTTCAGAACAGACTCCACAGCCTCTGACAAACGTTTGTTCCATGGAGGCTGAGCTCTGGTTGCGATCATACAAATCGCCTTGCATCTGCAAGTGACCTTTTATTTAATTCATAATAGAGAATTTCTGCAAACATGAAATTCAATCCAACATTCCCACCTAATGGAAAGATTGTGAATGGTTTCACAGACTATAAGGCAGTGATCGTGCCATGCGTTTGACGCAACAATTAGGCCTGGTGAACTCGAAGAAACAGCCTAATTTAATACTTTGAGGGCTAACAAACCTAATACAGAAGGCATGTTTTGAAATAAATCCCCTTTTTATATCCCGAAAAAGAAAAACAAAAAATAAATAGAGTTTACCCATAGAAATCATTATTTAACTGGCTTCTTGATTGTTCAACTCAATTGTAAACCTCTTCACAAGCCGGGAGCTCAGTTAAAAACTTGCGAAACAGTAGAGTTCGATGAGCTATCTTCGGCTGTATTCTTGTCAAAAATAATAAACAAAGCATTTACATCAGCGTGATGCTCATCGAGCCAGATATAAAAGAGATAAAGCTCTCGGCTGATCAATCCCTATGCATCATGCATTCGACTTCACTAAACATCGTTAGAGGTGATTGCATGTCTGGCCTATACAATGACTCGCGGTGAGTTACCGATGTATCGAGCCAGTGCTGCTATTCTCCCAGATAAATCTGGTACCAATCTGTTGACTCCGGAGTGGTGGAAAGTTTGGCGAGCCACGGGCGCGGGGATCGATCCCATGTGTGTCGCAGGTCGCCCCTGACCACTACGCCATACGCGCCCCGAGCCAGATAAATCAAAGTCGAGAGGAAGGTAAGTCAAATATATGTCGACATATCACATAGTGCAAAAAAAAACTAAAATAGGTATAAATAAACAAACCTCGACGTACTTATACAGCGTTCCATCTTGCTCCAGGTTATGCTCAGCCATATACCGACGAGCGTATTTCTCGACGCTTTCCTTGACTAAATTTGGGTTCCGCAAACATTGTTGAAGGATTTGAAAGCAGATTTCTTCACAATTCAAGCTCTTAATAAACATAGAAGATTATTACCGAAACAGGACCAAGCGAACGACGTTTGAGGTGACCTAAACTTACCACAAATGTGCCATAACTAAGAGGACATTGATAAACTTCTTTTAGTCGATTAATTACTTTGAGATTTGCACTGTATGTATCCAGTTCTCGCAATCTAGATGCTGTTCCACTGGTATCCGCACAAAGCAGACTTCCCACATATGCTAGCTCCGTCTAAAGCGCTTTCTGTACTACACATAAACTCGCACCACACGATGGATAACATACCTGTCGCGTCCCCGTAACTGTTTCGTTGACGTGTTTCTGAATAATGCGCTCAAATGTTGAAGTAGCATGCAGAGAATTCAAAGGGAAGTTGACTCTATCCAGCGTCTCCAATTCTCGAGCGAGTTCAAGTAGAAAGTCGACCAATAACGTGGATGTCTTCAAAAACGTCGCTTATAAAGAAAGGTAAAATCCCTTAGGACATCATATATAAATGCATACATATATATATTTCAAAATATCTTTTATTTCTATATTGCAATATTTTCCTCAGGTTTTTCAAATGCTACTTGACGCATGAGAACCAAATCTATGTTGCTGTTTTTCAGATCGACCATTTTGTTTGAAATCAGAAGGCTCTACGGACACAATTGGACTTCTTGAATACAGGCGCGAGCGCAGCTAGCAGCACATTACGTAGATAGGGAATACGGAACTGTCAGAACTGATTTGTAAAAGATCCTCGTATTATCTCAAAGAAAACCAGAATCTGACCAAGGCAACGTCACGGTGTGCAGTAACATCTGACATGCATGTGAGTTCGTTCATCTTTCGTGGGTGCCAAAAGGTACCTCACCATACTTGATGAAGAAATCTGGCACGTTACCAGTACCTGGGAGAATACTGGAAAATCGACTTTCATGGAACTCTGCAAATCTCGTTAGTGTTGTATGCGAACGGCTGAATGCCACTCCTCTAGGAGATGGACACAGATCGCCTAGCCAGCATAGGTAGCTAGCCATAAGCCATTAACACCCTGACTTCTTCCTTCTGGATCGGGTTAAAACAGCAAGTGTACTGTAGCGGACCAACGAATTTGTAAGGACTTGAGGATCGAATATGAGAAATAGTACCATCCATTTCACCAGAGTTCCAGCTGGAACCAGTTGATTTGGTTCCCGGTTGGCTTGGGTAGCCGTTGGCGAGTACTAGTGCCTACATCGTATTTTAAATAAAACCCCATGATGCACGCCTTTTTCCCATATATCATTTCCTGTAACACCTGTAGCAAGAAAATAAATTGCAGGAATTCTAAAACACAGAGGTACTTCTCAACATATATTTACATATACACAAATATATGTATGCGTATAGGGGTGGACAGTATAGTGGTGGCGACGGCGACCACGAGCTAGTTCGATCCTGCCCGATAGTCACAAAGCCTCTCAACCCCCGCAGTGGTAAATTGGTACCGGACTTGTCCGGGAATAAAACCAATCTCTACAATCCAACTATCGACTCGACCATCATTCTACTACAATCAAGATAAAATGAAAATCGTCAAGCAGCAGCCGGAACCATACGTAGGAAAGTTGAAAAACCTTCCTTCGTGAACGACGGATACAAGGAAACAAATCGAAAGTGAGAAGTGCTGGGATCCGCACAGTAGACATAAAGATGGGTGGTATGAAACAAAATAAAAAAAATATGCATATATACATATAATTATTTATTACCCTACTTTAAAATATCTGAATACCTGTTTAGGAACTTTCCATAAATAAGCAGGTACGAAATCAAACTCCAAGAAAGCGACAGCATCACGCCAAATTCCTATCTCTTCTAAAAATAAATAAAATGAAATACGTATCACCGTGAAGTACTAGGTAAAAGCATTTCGTATTTCCAACGTGTTTACGGCCGCATGCATTGAATTCAATGCATGTCTCTTCCGGCTTCTTGTCCTGACGCAGTTCTTTGCTATATATACCTCCTCTATTCTCTCCATATCTTTCCAATATACTTTGAAGGTTATCCACTCCGTTTCAAGATTAACAGAAGCCATTTTTCAGATGGATGTTTTCATTGAAATTCTCTGGAGCCTTTATAGATGGCCTTGTAGTATGTAAAAGGACTACGTGTACACAGAGCACGCATTTATCAATGAGTACAGGCTCTTTATTACTACTACAATCAAATAAAATTGGAAAGTCGAAAAGGTTGACAAATTTATCTTGCACAAAATGAATGAAAACTGAAAATAAACCGCCGTTTCGAGGTGTCGCCTGCGCCGTTTGGCAACAAAATAGACAAGTTGCTCAAACATAACGTGTTATGCGATCAGAAATGGACCCTCTATGATAACCAACAACGATCAACTCATTGACTAGACCGTGATGAAGCTCCATAGCACTTTTCAAATTCGAAATTGCACCGAAAAGACATCATACTGAACGTTTGGCGACCTGACGCTCGTTTGATCCACAACTGGTGTCTGATTCAGAATGAAACAATTCTGGCGGCAAAATAAAAGAATAAAAAGGATAAAGCTCTCGGCGTTGATCGATTCCTCAGGAATGCGCCATGTATTCGTCTTCACAAAGCATTGTTTGGAGGAAACTGAATGTATATCTGGCAAAGCTCAGAAACAAGTGCAAAAATACATGAAAAAACCAAAATATAGAGCACAGAGCAGAAGAAGAGGCAAAGTAATTCGAGTGGAAGACTGCACCATATGCATTGAGCTAAATGCACAACAAGAGGAGCGAAAAATCAATTAGGCGTAGTCTCATGCAGCCGTCATATAAAACTAGGCGTAGTTGAATATGTGCTAGTAGGAGTTTTGTCACTACTCGATTTTTTTTTTCAATAAGCTTTCAATATAACACACTAACTTGAAATGGCCGCACGTAACACCTCGAAAAACTTCGAAAGATTCTTTCCAGCCGTTTCTTCGTCGTCCGCATTATTGAAACAAGGAGTGATAGAAGCGATGTGTCGATTCCACACAACTCGCGCCTCCTATAAGATTACCAAAAAATTTAGAGAGGACGTAATCTAAGACGAGAAATGAATAAACCGTGCTTCCAAGTCAACTAATGCAACGAAAATCCTGGAGTTTCAACCACATGCTCTAGTAGAAATGTGATTTGATTATGGAATCAAAACAAACGAAAGTTTTTAAAGCTGCCAACAAAACGCTACATTATTTAGAGCTAGTCATCTTTGGACTAGGCACAAATAAGTACTGTACGAGGATCCAACGAGCTAATTATTCACAGAACAATAACCATCGCATTTTGGAATACTTTATCGTATGCTTATGCGCGGCTGGAAATATGAATCGACCAGAACACACTTTCACTAATCCATTTTCGAGTGTACGTAGGAACACTTCATGCCATTGTTCCTCGTTTTGCATTCCCGACACAAAGTACTTCCACAGAGAATCACTAGCAAATCCTGCATTTTCCGGACCTTGCACTAAGCTATATGTCGCTAGCAGATATGACACTTGAGATAGATGATCAATCGTCGCGGAATCTGGAATTACGTAAGAAATGGAATAACGAGTCGAATTACGAAGTGCAGTAGCCAGAAGGTTCCACTGCTCCTGCTAAACTTTAACCTGTTTATAAATATGACAAATAGGAATTCTTAGAAAAACTTTACCTGTTATAGCCCGTTTTCTTGAATACGTAAGCAAAGTGATTATTCTCTCGTAGCTGCCGAATGTTGTGGCACCAGAGAAACACACCTCGCCAACCTTAAAAACCCAACGTATTTCTTCCGTCTCAAGTAAGTACGTGAGAGAAGGTATGTAATGAATACATTTCAAGTACTACGATGAAGGGTAGGATAAACGGGACCCTTCTATCGCTAGAGTTGTTGTTTGGAGCCCTAGGATTTCCCCTATACCTATCCTGAGCTACAGTTTCTTAGCCATTAGAAATGGCTATATGCCGTGCCAAGTTACGGGACTCCTCACTCTGCTCTTTTCCCGCGCACACGTTGGTTGCTGTTCGAAACATGTTTCTTATAAGCGCCCTTTCCGTGTGAGAGGGGTGGGAGAAGAGGTAATGAACCAAGATGTTTTTACTACTTGGCTTTCGGTACCACTTCGTAATGTAGCCATTTTCTGATAGGTTAATTTGGACGCTCAGGAATGGAAGCCATTTTTCTTTCGGTTTTTCTCGGGTGAACTTGATGTACTCTGACTGTGTGTTTAACAACTCAAAGCATTTGTCCATTTCCTCTTGTGTTGAGCAAAGGACAAAGAAGTCGTCTACATACCTACAGTAGAGTAGCGGCCCGAGATCAGTCACCGGTGCTTCCACCTTAGATATAAATGCAATGGCAAGGCTTCGAGCCAGTCGTTGTCCCATTGCCAACCCTCTTATTTGAGCGTAGTACTTTCCGGACCATCTGAAGATTGAGCAGCTCAAGCATTCTCTTAAGAGTGCCATCAGGTGCTCTATCTTGAAGCCACACATGTTTATTTCTCCTTCGTGTTGTGTAAGGAGTTCGAATATGGCTTGCATTGCGGAGTCATTCGACAAGTTTGTATAAAGGGTGGTAACGTCGAAGGACTCCATCACGAACGCGCTGTTGGGCTGCGCAGTACGTAGACGATCCAGAAACATCTGGGTATTCGTAAGATGGATACTTGTCTAAGGTGGAAGCACCGGTGACTGATCTCGGGCCGCTACTCTACTGTAGGTATGTGGACGACTGCTTTGTCCTTTGCTCAACACAAGATGAAATGGACAAATGTTTCGAGTTGTTAAATGCGCAGTCAGAGTATATCAAGTTCACCCGAGAAAAGTCGAAAGAAAAATGGCTTCCATTCCTGAACGTACAAATCCACCTGTCAGAAAATGGCTACATTACAAAGGGGTACTGAAAGCCAAGTAGTAAAAACATCTTGGTTCATTACCTCTTCTCCCACCCCTCTCACACGAAAAGGGCGCTTATAAGAAACATGTTTCGAACGGCAACCAACGGGAACAGAGAAGGGAAGACGGGAAGAGAACAGAGTGAGGAGTCCCGGAACTTGGCACGGCATATAGCCATTTCTAATGGCTAAGAAACTGTAGCTCAGGATAGGTGTAGAGGAAATCGTAGGCCTCAAACGAAAACTCTAGCGATAGAAAGGTCCCGTTTATCCTACCCTTCATCTCAAATGATATAAGTACAGCTATAAAACGCTGCTTGAGAAGGGCGGGTTTAGAGAATTCGGTAAGCGTAGTTGAAATACCACCGAGCAATCTTAAGCGCCAGGTAGTTCGTAACCGCCTATATGACCGTCTATGTGCAACTCAAAATTGCATAATTTGCCCCAGTGGTAGAGACGGTGATTGCATGAGCTCGGATATAGTTTATCTGATCTCCTGTAAGACGTGTGGTGACGAATACATTGGCGAAACGGGTAGACCCCTCTGTGTCCGCATAAAAGAACACCTAGCCGGCAAACATAGACCAAATACCCCGCTAGGCAGGCATAGGACCCAGAGACATAACGGGGACGACTTTGAAGCATGTGTCACGATCCCCGCACGCAAATCAAGAACACAGGCGCGAAAAACTCTCGAGGCATTCTGGATTAATTCCAGAAATCCGAAAATGAACTGCAAGGAAGAATACCTCATTATCACGCGTGATATTGGACAGTATATAAACCTGCTATTCTGATGGGAGGGGCACATTATACTTCCATGTAATTTCTGTGCGGTTGGTCTCTACGTGACATACTTAGTGGAAACCTCATAGAAAGCAGTGAGTGTGCAAAGCTGTGTTCAACATGATTGAAATCTTGGTTTAGAGTTTCTTTGTTTGGTTATGGAGGCGTCTGGGCGAGTGGATTGCTGTCAACTTGACCTTTCCAGGCTCTGAGGAAGGTGAAAACCGCCGAAACGTCAGCTTATTCGTGAATAAAGAATAATAACACCTCGCGTTTTCTCAACAAAAATACGAAGAGTTAACTTTTAGTTAAATTACCAGTCAATGAACTTTTTCGACAATAGGTTTTTTGTAAACCATTAGGGGTAGAGAATGAGTTTCTGATCTCATCGCTACTATTTCTATCTGCTTCCGATTAGCTAACGAATCACTATGCGTAGTGAGGTAAGAAAACTCTGGAACCCATTAAACTCAACACTTTAGTGTCCATATGGTTGTTTGGCCCAGTTCGCAACGAACACTATAGTGTTAATACGGGGCGCTATAGGTTCATCCATACATCAGAAAAGCGATACTGTCCCAATATTAATCAGTATTTTTCACATTATGTTTGCCTTTCCATGTCTTCCGATATTGGGTTATTATTTAAACGTACGTACACGCAGGACTAGTTGCTTAAGTTGGAGGAAACTTAAGAAAAGCAACAAGTTTTCCGCCTTTAAGTTTCTTAGAATTTTAATTTCAGGAAATTTTATAAATGGAGTAGGATTTTTGGAAAATTCCATGTTTTTTAATAAATGGAGCAAAGTCCAACTATTAACACTCTCGCGGCGACACCTAATCCCGGATTTGTTGTGGACTGGACAACGCATAATTTCAGCCTTTACAGCATTGCTGGCTTCTTTTTCTGAGAATTCGAAGACTTTCCGACCACGGTGCCACACGCGCTATAAGATTACATAGAAACAGAAATTCGGTATTATCATCTTAAACATTAACTTGATTAGAGACAACAGCAAATCAACCGAAAAAATCAGAACCTTTCATGTCTCTATCAAGCCAGTTTGAATCCTTAAAGACGTAAGTAAGAAATGTAGTCAGTTGACGTTGGGATAAAACTTTGTGGAGTAAAGAATCGGTAATAGAAACGTGTCACTCGATCAGATACAACTTTGCAGACTAAAATTTGGACTATAATAATATATTGGCCCAAGCTAGCATATCTGAAGTTTCAGACAAAACTTTTGTAACATGAGTATCCCGCTCACAAAGAATTTTGCAAGTTTAGCGTTAGTGTATGTCAACCATTCTTTCCAAGATCCTATACGATCTCAGTTTCACACTGGTCAATCTTTAAAAAGACCTACCATATTGTGGTCATTGACGTTTTCAAGACAGTTCATCAGTTGTGCGAAATGTTCATCAGAGTTGCTAACGGCAGCCAGTGACAACAAATAATGCATTCTAGCAACATGCACCTTCTGGAATCATCAAGCAGGCAACATTAACAAATTCCGAATCCTCTTTAGTGAATAGTTCAAACACACATTTAATCTTCAACGAATAGTACTCTGGGCAGGTTTAACTTCGCTTTAGCCAACACTCCCACAGAAACCAGTTATTGGAACATGATAGCATTACAAATGACTAAATTCGTACCTGTATATCTAAACTGAACTGTATAGCAAACTGTTCTGCCTGGTCGAATTGATTCCTACTAATCAGCCTTTCAAGCTTCATCTCCGGTTGAGCTTCCACTAGTTCTCGAACTTTCACCGTATCACTGTTAAATCTTTAGCGTAGTTCCTTATGTCTTGTATATTTAAGTATGAATAAGTGTTACCCCCTTCAAAAAAAACGTAAATTAGCAAACAGCTTACGTGTCTTTGCCAGCAAAGGACTCAACTATTAAAATAACTCGATCAGCAACTTCAGACACCGCTATTAATGTGCTCTCCGGACTGACCCCGACACGATAAGTTATTTCGGAATTCAGCAAAGAACGAATATGCATCTGCAACATATGGAATAATGGAAAATGACTCTCATTAAAAAGCTATTTAAAGTCCTCAAGCAGTTCATCGCTGCATATGGTTACAACGACACTTACAATGATACAGGAAGCAAAGAATATTGGATACTGAAGCTAAATTCTCATAAAAAGCAGAGGCCCTGCTAAAATATCTCCAGTGGCATAAACTCTGCGCGAAAACACAAAAATAGATCATCCTGAATTCCTTGTTCTGAAGAACAAGTGCTTTCCTAAGGATGACAAGTGATAAATTAGGAACTAAACAGCATCACGGTCGACAACATTTGAGGTTGAAGCTTCAAATTGTACAGCATTTCTTTATCTCTATATGATGACATATTAAGGGACTTTAAGACCAGTGGACTTCACGTAACTCGTCAGTTGTTTTGTCCGAAAGTGGTAGCCAAGTGGACATTGGTTCGCTGATAAACGAAAGCATCATACTTGCGTAAGGAACTTGGCTGACTGCTACAGCAACCATATTGTAAAGATGCAGGTCTCCTATCAATTCCGTTCGACAGAGGTTCGAAAAAGCGAAACCGCCCAGGCGAAGTTGTTTCAGCCAGAATTGAAATGGATATTAAGGTTGTTCGATCTTGATTAAAAGGCTTCAGACATTAATGGATTATAAAAGTACTCAAGAAACTCCGACCTGCTGAGAAATGAAACTGTTTCCGAAATGTACCGTTGGATACAGAGAAGCTTAGAGAAGCAGAACAACACAGGAATGCCAATAAATTGAAAGGAAACTCAGTTCCACTTAATGAAAAAACTCATACTACGACTGAAAACAGATCCAGATAAATATCCGAGTATGGAAGCTGCAATGTACTCAAGAACGTGTGAGAAAGAAAGTGCAGCAGCTGCCACTTATAAGCATGTCAGAAAATTCGCTAATCAACTAATGGTTTGCAACCACTTTTTCTTTTCGACCCAAGCAAGATTCCACTCATTTATCTACGACACCACTGAAATATGGGCTGGGTTTCAACCACGTTAGGGGTGCACGCCATTTATGTCCACGTACCAAGTGATTAAAGCACGCTAAAGGTCAACATTTAAAGCCAAATTGGAAGCCGATATTACGTTATTCAGACCTTATAAACACACTTTTTGGGTACACATCCGAACACACTTCCAGTGAAGCATAGAGTCGCTTGTATAATAAGAAAACGTCATACAGGATAGGTTAAGTAGACGGCACGCGAGCGCCCTTAAATCAGAACCTCTTCAGGATCGGTATACGTGTTTTGACCTCACATCGTCCTACTGAACCCCCAGATGGACTACAAGTTGTGGACCACAAAAATATTGTTAGCAGGCATCACCAAGCATGAAATGCACCATATCTATGGGGAAAAAACAGAACTGCAGCGTGATTTACAGAAATTGACCAATCGAGTACCGATGTCAAAAAGTCGCTCACCGGAAAACAGGGAGTCCACTCACCTCTGCATTGTCCTGTGTTTTCACGATAACAGCAATCATTCCCAATTTCAGATTAATTCCTGGATTATTGACTACAATAAAGTCAGTAAAGACTTCCCCCTAAAACGCGTATTTAACAAAATATGTAGTAAAGCGAGTTTGAAAGGAAACCTAAACTAAGGGATTACCACAATATAAAAAGGATAAAAAACAAATGAAAAGCAGCAGTAATGTAGACGACTATTTCTCAGTAAAGACTTTGTAAGCTAAAAAGTTTTAAAAAATGACAGCTGTTGATAGCAACCTAGTGATGATATCTGCTTTGTGGACTAAAAAGGAACCTGGTTTGTCCTGATGTCCTTCTGGAGCACAATGGAATAAGTCCATAGATCATAAACAACAAATAGACCTTCGAGAGTCAGCCCGATAATGAAGCGACCATTAGAGTAATAGCGCACCCGTGTAAAAAGCGCCGCTAAACCTTTTTTTTGTCAAATATATCTCTCTTAAGGTAAAAAGATGCATATACCCGTCTCCATAGCTCCCAGAAGACCCACTTCCATGCTTCCTACCTGACATAATTGAAGAGGAGCATGCGACCCTGGAACCTGAAATTTAAGACTTTGTTTTTCATTTTCTATGCCCTTCTATACCTCGATACAGTTCAAAGCAAATTTGTGACGAACTAACCGTAATTGTGTATTCGCCAATAGATACAACGCTATTCAGGAGGAGTCTGCTAACGGTTCGTGTGTACCGTGAGTTTCCAAAAGACTAAAACATTTTGGCGAATTAAAAAAAAAACCCGATAGAAGAAAAAATCCACGACAATTCACTTCATCGTATTAAAGTGAGAACAGATGTAGTGTTACAGGGCACCGCGAGGAGCACCTGGCAAGCTTACCATGCTAATAAGGAGTTCAAGAACCCATACAGAAGCCCATTAATAATAAACCTATGCGATAGCAGAATCCGATGACCAGCACATGGCCACTTGAGTGATCAGTAGCTCTAACATGTGACCACTACGGAAGGGTTACGTTAGCTATGTCCTCTCGAGCTGATAGATCGTTGAAGAAACTACAGTTCGCAAAAATGAAGGTAACTTCGTTCCCACTTGCGGAACACACGCACAAAAGAAGTGCTACCATAATTATTCGGTCCTCAACCCTTAATAAATGTATGTCTAATTTGGATCTGTGTGGCGCAGTGGTCGAAGGCGCCCTGCAATACACATGGGATCGATCCCCGCGTTGCTTGCCAACCAAACTCTCCATCACTCCGAGGTCGGCAATTTGGTACCAGACTTGTCTGGCAGGATAGCAGCACCGGCTCGATACATCGGTAGGCCACCGCGAGGCATTGTAAAGGCCACATACGCATTCAATCACCTCCGAGCGATGCTAATGAAGTCGAATGAATGGCGCAACCCTAAGAAATTGGTTAACGCCAAAAGCTTTACCGTTTCTTTTATCCTTTTAGTATCTGTTTTAAATAAATTCGACTAACTAGAAACGCTCCTCATCACTTTGAAAAGATAAACAGCGCTCATAAAATGGTGGAAGATAACATTTATACTTACAGCTTTGCACGCTTCTATTATCGTTTCACCATTGGCACTTTCCATCGAAAACCATTCGGGAATCTCAAATATGAACGCCTCCCCGTCTTCACGAGCCACGGTGACATAGCATACGTCCTTGACAAGGTCCGACGAGATGTAGGCGCGCTTACAGTGAGATGTTGAGGGTAATGTCTGATGAATGAACAGTTCAGAATGACCTCCATTCTAGCAAAATGGACCGATCTAATTAACAGTTTCTTTTACCGACTACTACTTACAATCGTTGTCAACACAGCTTTGAAGTTTGCCGACAACAAGGTCATCTCCATTGTGGAAGAAAGAACCGCAAAAATGCCGCTACTCCCAATCCATCCTACACCACAAATATTCGTTCCTTCTAAAAAAAAAGTGTGGCTATTTCAACCTGTGCGAATAAGTGAGTAGGACTGAGGGACTCCACAAGACTGAAGAGTACGAAGTAAAATGCAAAAAGAATGCACTGACAACAAAAAATACGTACTGTACCTGGATACTTGGATAACCCGTCTTCACTGGTTGTGCGGGCTCCAGCACAGTTTCCATTCTCCAGATTTACTGGTTTAGCCATTGTCGTTCCCTGGAGTCCCGAGGACAGCTTGGCCAAAGTCTGCCCCAGGTCGTTACCACCACAGGCAGTCACAGCCCTTGTGGATCATAAGGAGATTTGCAACCACGCGACTAGTTTCATACCAGGACGGTGGTGGATCCTTATTGGTTTACTCTTAGCTGGGTTTCATGATGGAAACGCCGGACACCTTATCAACTTGGGAAATCCTGCTGGGGTGATGAATTTCGCCACTGTACATCGCAGCCCGACACCCAGGAACACCTCTCAGCCACGATGAGGCGGTAAACCGCTAGGAGGCTTTTCAATACGTACTGTACCTTTCACAAAAAAAAGAAGAATAATTCATAAAACATGCCTTTAAATTGATGGGTGAAAAGATGTTCCAGGTCGAAATTGATTAGGAATATCGATATGTCATCACCGATAGCAATTGCCAACCATTTCTCATTACCCTCAGTAATAATCGAGGGGCTAGTTCTCTCTTTGCCGGGCTCTTCATTCTCATCGTTTTCCAGGTCTCCTAAAAAGTGACTTCGAAGACTGTCGAGTAGAACACGAATAGCCCTACTATTACCTGATATTGTGGCCAGTTTCTTCACCTCATATAGGCTAGATACGTTGGCGAACTCGCCATGTTTGTTGAAGCACTTCGTTTCTTCGTCACCAAAATCGGTCACTACCGCTGAATACCTCATCTAGAAAGGGTTTCAGTACTGGAAATATTAATGAAACAACACCTAAAGGTACTGAACACGTCAGCAATGAAATGGTGCACGTTAGGAAAACTGACTGAAATCGCTATCTTCGCGGTAAATTCCTGTTAGAATAGAGCGCATTATCTTCACTTAGTCTAAGACCGTGTTCATGTTCATAATGTAAACAGTTGAAGGGAAAAGAAGAACTTTTTCGTTGAATCGACAAGAAGACGATGTTATAAAGCTTGTCATTATGAACCAGTACGAAGTTTTTCATTTAAAAAGCTAACACGAGGATAAAGAACTTTATTCGGCTAAAGTTTCGGCGCCATCGCTCTCTTCAGGGCCGGATTGATCCGAACCCATTGCCCTACACCACCAATCTCTATAGAAATCAGCTCAGCCAATTTAAACCAATATTATAAATTATTATTCCTAGTCTCCACTTCCAGGGCGTGTGTGGCGCAGTGGTTGGAGGCGCCATGCAATACACAAAGACATTTATCCCTATTATTACTTATCCTTTATCCACTCTCTACTTCTAGAGCCAGAAGAGTTGTAACTAATTCGTTTTTTTAACTTTCTTGAATTATAAAGCTTTAAGAGGTTTATTCGGCTAACGTTTCGACGTCTTCATCATTTTCGCTCACATCGCCAGGACGTCCACTTACGGACCATCGATTCGGATCAGTCCGGCTCTGAAGGTGACGAAAACATTGAGACGTTAGCCAAATAAACCTTTTCCTATTAACCTCGTGTTAGCTTAATAATCCAGGAAGGCAACGATTAATAAAACCGAGGTTAAATGGCGGTTACCTTGAAAAGTATAATTTTGATAAGTAAAACATATCTTCAGCACTGGTGCTGCAATAGTTGGTAGGTAGACGGCCGTCTTGACGACTAGTCCGAGCACCGGAACACTTCCAGTTCAATCCATTCTTGCCAATTCGTTGTGCACGGTAGTGTTTTGTCTTGAGTATAGTGGGATATGGTAGTATCAGCTCCAGTTCAATTCTACATGTGCTATCCTGGCTATCGATTATGGAATAGCTTTCAAAAGTACACACTGCACATCCCAGCTCTAGCTTTGTTCACGGGTTATGTCTGACAAAACTTCGTTCATGGGCTGTATACGTACTGCACAGGAATCTTGACGTGGTTGAAGAGTCGATCCACGGTCTTTGCTGGACATCAGGGCGCTGGAACGGTCGTCGGGTCAAAAGAGAAAGGGCGCGAAAGACTGAGTCTGCCAGATGCCCAGTGTCTTCTCGATGAGATGCAAAAGCAGCTCGTGCTGCTCTCTGTTCATTTCCTAATTGGTGTTGTTCTTCATGATCAGCGGGCGCCCTAGGTACGTATAGGATGTGTTCTCCGTAATCAGAGAACAATTTATTTCCATTTAGTTGGTGACCTGCGTATTATGGGTTTCCAGTGAACTGGGTTTTCATCCTACTTACGTGCTTTCAAATCCTTCTTTCCGCTTCGTTGAGCTCCTTCAACATCGTCCTCACTCCATCGACATTCCTCGAAAGGATAACGACCCCGTCAACAAATCGGAAATTTGACAAGAATTTGTGGGCAATACTTATGCCCTCTACATTCCTAAAAAGTGACTTCATTATACGCTGCGTGGCACAGGTAAGCAGTCCAGTCTTTTCCTATTTGGACGGTGAGAAGTCGATGGAGAGGGCGTATTTCCTTAATACGTTTACTATAATGGTCAGGCAGAGTTTTCACATAGGGACGGTTCCGTATCTTGCACGACGAGCGCTGATAGGATAGTGTTCGCTCCGATGATTCGTGTTCGGCAAAGGTTGGAAAAAAAAGAAAAAGGCGCATGTGGTATTTCCGATGGCACACTCCATAAATTCCCCTTTTCAGTACTGAATGTGCATTGTGATGAAGCTATGCGCTATCGAATAATCGTGAGAGGCTTGTAGTGAGCAGTGAACAAGTCAAACGGGCGATAATTGCTATCATACCTTTGATCACCCAACTAGGTTGTTCGTCCTAGAGCTCCTGTACTAGTCTTTGGTTTTTTCTTTTAAAAGTGAATTGTCATCCGAATTGCCCATTTTTGAAGCACGTGCCGAGGACTCAAGTGCCATCCACCACATCAACTGAGACTCTTGCTTTGCCTTTCTCTGAGCCAGTTGTTTTATTCTCCCAGTGCTATCAGCAATCATCAGTGAACGGGAATGATCTGGGGAACTCAAGTCCGCGTTGAACCTAATTAAACTGAAGTGGCATTCCAAACCACAATGTGTCAACTTTTATTTGCTGCGTAATCCTACTTCACCACAGGATACGACGTCAACCTGATGACTGATTGATGATAGCACCGATAGGTTTTAAAAAACAGGCTGAGAGAAAGGCAAAACAAGTGCCCCGGTTGGGGTGTTGGATAGCACTCGAGCCCCTGGTAAGGGTAATCGCGGGATCGAAGCCAATTTTCGTCTGCTTTGCAAATACTTAATTCAAGGCAGACTTTTACATTTTGCATTTCTTCGATTTCATTTCCACAATCAACAACTTCGATGACAATTGTGCCATGGTTGTAACAGTTACCAAAAGTGCTATGTGCGAGCGAGCCAGGCTTTCATCAGTGTGTGTCCACATAGCATTTGTACCCGATCTACCACTCTTTACATGCAATTCATATTGCATCCAACCAGCAATGCTCACAACGAATACGTTTTACAAACTATTTATTTCCCTTACTATCATACACCTTAGGGATTAATACAATGCACAGTAAGCGAAATACAACCACAACGTTGCTGAGATATTTGCAAAACTCTGGACCGCAGGTGTCTATGGTGGGGAACGAACACGCTATTGTCCTTTCCGGGGAGTAACGCGTTCACCACCACACCATGCGGGTCCTTTGTTTCGCACGTCTCTCAGCTATTTCTATCGATCTTTTTGCCACAGCAATCACCCGTCAGCGGGGTTGATCTGGGGAGCGCAAATCGGCATAGAACCCAGTTAAGCTATGGCTGTAGTTGAAATCACAATGTTTAACGTTTTGTTTTCTGCCTTCTATAATTTTCATGGCAGGTTACTAAGTAAGCGAAATACAACCACAACGTTGCTGAGATATTTGCAAAACTCTGGACCGCAGGTGTCTATGGTGGGGAACGAACGCGCTATTGTCCTTTCCGGGGAGTAACGCGTTCACCACCACACCATGCGGGTCCTTTGTTTCGCAACAAACCCGAACAAACAAAACAAAGGACCCGCATGGTGTGGTGGTGAACGCGTTACTCCCCGGAAAGGACAATAGCGCGTTCGTTCCCCACCATAGACACCTGCGGTCCAGAGTTTTGCAAATATCTCAGCAACGTTGTGGTTGTATTTCGCTTACTTAGTAACCTGCCATGAAAATTATAGAAGGCAGAAAACAAAACGTTAAACAATGCACAGTACTACAAACCCTCAATATTTACAATTACATGTTTTACATAGTACTTGGAATCACTTAAACCACTCCATATCTCACTTCATGTGGACATTATTGGAACCAAATGAACAGAAATATTTCTTGCATTCGCTGTATGTAGTGTCGGTCTATGTACTTCGCAGACCATCTGACTTAGAGCCCTAAATTCTTGCTAGGAAGTGCTATCAGGTGCTATCTGGGAAAAGTAAAATAAACTTTGCAGAAGGGAATTTACTCACGGTGCAAGTGGAGAAGGGTATCCACCGGAAGTAGGTGACATACCAAGATGTCCCAGATGCGCAGGTGGACTTCCATCACCATCTGGACGTGATAACATTGAAGTTAATTATCCATTTTGAAAGCGGGAACTAGATGAGTTACAAACGATGGTTCAGCATATCCATTTAGAAAGTTTATGAACTTCTCAAAACGTATCAGACAACGCCTACCTATAACTACTTCGTGGAAGTAAAGCAGTAGTGTCTCCAAGTGATGACATGTTAACCTCAGAAACAATGCAAAGAACGTCACTGCAGGCACGATATATCAGTTTTTGTTTTTCCTTATATGCTCTCATTTTCGCGCTTCTAACAGAAATTGATCATCATTGACTCCTAAATGGTGCTTTGAAGAGTTTTCCAATAAAGTCACGGAATACTACAAGAAATCGTTGACGCATTCACAGTGATTTACATAATTAATTCATAACTTAAATTCATACGTAGTTGGAAACAACAAAAAAGGATAAAGCTTTCGTCGTTGATCTAATACTGAGGAATGCGCCATGCATTCGACTTCATTCTGGGCTTTACAGTGATTCGCGGTGGCCTACCGATGTACCGAGCCAATGCTGCTATCCTCCTAGACAAGTTGGGTACCAGTTGTACCAGTTTGCCGATCCTGGAAGGATGGAAGGCAAGCCATGGGCGCAAGGATCGATTCCACATGTATATTGCACGGCGCCTGCTACCACTGCGCCACACGCTCCCTACACATATACATAAGCACTAATAATACAAATACATGACGTACCTCTCGCTTGTTCTTTTGCACTCGACAATAGAACACCATTTGATGTCTTGCACTCACAAAAAATTGACGTAATTTGTAGCTGCCGATTGATTTTGGCTTTGACGAGATGACAGTTTAGGACTTCTAGAACATTCTTCAGCAAGTCACATAACATGAATAAGGAAGCCTATAGCGAATCTGACAAACTTACGAAACTTTCGGTTGTTCTATTTTTTGCAGACGCTCCGATGAGCTACGGTTATCGTACGGAATCAGAGAAAGTGTAATAACACACATATCAATAAAAGGATAGTGCAAAGCTTCTTCTGTAAGTTTGTTGATGTCCCAGCTCTTAAAATACACTAAAAATCGGAAAGTCGTGGACAGTTATCGACTAACTTGCATCGGGTGCAGAGTGAGGCATCATCATTTTCGAAAAGCGGTTCGTAGTTCTCCAATTTTCAATTGCTTGATGACCTTTGGGTACTTTGGAGAACTTTCCTTGTGAAAACTTCTCTTTCTATCCATACGGTCATGGGTTTCGTGTCGATCGGATGGTCGTCTCGGAGCCGGTATGGCATGTCGCGGCGTGGTCTTAGTGATCCACCAGGTCAGTTACGTTCAGTGTTTCAGGCTGTTGACTTGGGTCGCATGGCAGCGGTGGTCTATCCACGGGTGGAGGCGTAACAGTGGAACGGTACCATCATTGCTTTGTGAAAACATGACGCTAATTACGCTTAGTGTTTAAGACAGGTATTGTGCAGAATGAGAGGATATCAAAACTCCAGGTGAATATCATAATATTCCTTGAAGAACTTGTACAACTTCACTAAATGTTGGAAGTAGTATGACTGCGTAGAGATCCAGTTTTTTTCACTATACGCAAGGGTTGTATATGCACTAAAAATACAGGGACATACGTAGAAGAACATGGATCATAAATAGGGTAGGAGAAACCGATTAATGAGGCAGAAATCACAATGAAATGGGCTCGCGCATTACACACTGCTCCATGGATGCCCTTTTCCATCTTTTTTCATGGTAGTTTTCGATCTACCAGTTCCATCAGCAATCATATGTCAGCGCGACTGAACTGGCGAGTAGAAATCGGTACTGAACCCAGCGAATATCTCTATCGCTGTGGTTATAATTCACATCATACCCTGCCGTGGTAAATTATTATAGACAGAGAAATAAGGCTAACTATTTAAAGAGTTTTGAGTAACTGTTTTCAAACAACTTGAAATTTAGCTTTTGTCCACAGATTTTTCGTGAATTGGAGAGAAAGACAATAATAATATGTATGCGTGAAGTGCGGTCTGTTTACTGTGATAACCTTGGATCTCAGAAAAATAGTGGTGCTTGTCCTCAGCGGTATACCTCATTTATGGTCGGAGTTCATTTGAATACTGCAGGTTCAGGTGAACTAGTAACACCACCAGTTGTCTTTATAGACCAAGTTAGTATTAGTTTTTATATTTTATGATGTCACATGTCTACCAACAGTTTACCGCCTCATCGTGGCTGAGAGATGTTCCTGAGTGTCAAACTGCAACGTACGGCGGAGGATTCATCGCCCCGGTAGGGTGTTCCAAACTGAGAAGGAGTCCGACGTTTGCATCATGAAGCCTAGCTAAGAGTAAACCAATACCGGGATCCACCACCGTCCTAGTATCAAACTACTCGCATGATGGCAAATCTCCCTCTGATCCACATGGGAGGCGACTACTTGTAATGGAGACGACCTGGGGCAGATCTTGGCTAGCCTAACCTCGGAACTCCAGGGAAACACCATGGTTAAACCAGCAGAACTCCGAAAAGTAGAGTTGTGATGGGATCCACACACCCAGTGGGTACGGGCGGTCCAAGTATGCATGATGTCACATGAGTCTTGTGTCACAGCAGTTGGACAGAATCTGGAGATGGTCCATCTCTTGAAATTTCAATGGCTCACTGTTAATGGCACAGTTTAGCCCCACTATTCTTGAAATCCTGCCAATCGTTAAGTAACTCGAGCAGGCAGTATTGAACTTCACTCCCTCTCGTCAACTAGATTTTATTGCCGCTGCGAACATAAAACCTTCACACATTTGGTATGACACACTTTTTTTGTAACTGCCCGCAACTCTTTGGTCGAATTCCACAGCTTGGCTCTGCTGATGGGTTGGACAGTCTGCGGGGAGCCACTCGTCGGGAGCAACTCGAACCACGATGAGGCAGTAAATGATTGGAGAGCATAAAGCTGATTACTGCCAGTATTTGGAATTATAGGTAGGATTAAAATAAAATGAATATTTGGAGAGTTAATTTTGCAAGAAAAAATGTCACAGAGTAACGTTCAGAAATCGCAGCGAGATCGATCCACCGTAAAACCGCATAGGAAAGTTGCTACTTGATGCTTTCTAGTGCACAACTTGCCTCTACTGGTTGCCAGATAACGATTATCCAGTGGTGCCTCGACATTTCCTGTATGCCATCTACTGAACCATCCGTTAGGGGACGGAATGAAGGCATTGCTTATCGTCTTCGGCCTCCAATGGCATCTCCATTCGATAACATGGATGAGGCGGGACAAAGAGGTTTTCGTTAAGATCCTCATACGATTTTTCGTTGACTCACATTTGATTCTCCTTTCGGATCACAACCCCTGAGTGAAAAAGGGAAGGATATTGGTAGGCATGTTCCCATCTGTATGACACCTTTTAACATCTTCCGCGCGATTCCACCAAGCAAATATGTTGCTTTAACTCTATTTGACCGCCAGAAATCCGTTCTTCAATTTCTTGTAGAACCTAAGGTTCTGCTAATTGAATGCGACTTGCCTTTTGCGTAACAATCCATTGCACTTAAAAAATGACTCCTGCTCTTTCTATATTCAGACGCTTGTCGTATTCGATGTCGAACAGAAGAAAAATGCATCACAAGTTCTTCAAATCAGCCGCGTATCTAAAAATGCCCTGGTCTCTTTTCGGTTTCAGGTTTGGCATGTGTTAGGATTTCAAGTCGCTTGGAAGAGCATATTTGGATTTTCAAATAACTCTGTTTAGAAAAATTTTAATTTTATTGATAATCTGAAATGATTGTTTAAGACAAATGCACCGACGAGGTATATCGTCAACCCTAACTGTGGAGTGATTTCAGACAACAAGCCTATCCCGGTACGGTAATTTGGGTTTAAAAAGAATTTCATCAGAAGCGAATTAAGCCATGACAGTGTGCTGTACTAGAAGGAGACGAGGTTCTAGTCTGAAGTTGTCCTCACTAACGTCCACGAGACTGGTAGACATATTAGGATAGCGGCAAAATTCCAAGGTCATAGGTTGAAATTGGATAACGAAAGTTGTTATTGCATAAATTGCTGACAAATGTGTATGATAAAATATTTACAGTTCCAAGTACTCATTATAAAGACGCATGTGGCGCAGTGGCTGGAGGCGCCACTGCGAAATGCACGTGGAATCGGTCCCCGCGCCCATGGCCCACCAAGCCTTCCATCCGTCCAGGGTCGGCAAATTGGCTCCAGACTTGTCTGGGAGGATAGCAGCACTGGCTCGATACATCGGTAGGCCACCGTGAGTCATTGTAAAGGCCAGATATGTATTCAGTCACCTTCAAAGATGCTTAATGGAGTCGAATGCATGGTGCATCCTTCAGGGACTGATCAACACCAAGAGCTTTATCCTTTTATACTTTAAGTAGTAGTTTAAGTAAGTAAGCATAAGTAGTAAGTAAGTACTCACCATGTTTACGCTACAATAACTCTAATAATAGAATATAGAGATCGGCAGTAAATCTACTCTTTGCCAAAGGACTTCAATTAAATCACTAGTTGAGAATATGCAACACTATGGGACGCAATGGTTAGATATGTCATGCAATAGACACGTGGGCACTGGTTTAACTCCACACTCTGAACAACAATAGGCAGCGTCCGTCCAGGATTGGGAAACTGGCATCAGACACGTTTCCCAGGATAACAGCACTAACTCGATACATCGGTAGGGCACAGCAAGGCATTGCACGAGCTCTATTTGCTCAATCTTTCCTACTAAACCCGTTCAGTGCCTGATGTAGTCGAATGCATGGAACAAGAGTTTTATGTTTTCCGCAGCATAATCCCTAATTCCTCATTGTCACGTGTTGAGAATCCCACTTTTTATTGAATCCAACGATGTTTGTTTTCCAAGAACAAATGATAAGGTGGAGTAGAAAATTAATCCTTAGTGGAGAACTCTAAGCATTGGAAGGTGTTTTAGTTTATCATAAACCTAGTGAGAAAGTTTGTTGTCGAATTTACAAATGATTTAGGTGAGAATTGAACTCGTTGGTAATCGCTTTAATCCGCAACATAAGATTGTGTTGCACGCTACTGAAATAAAGGACATTAACGAATGGAAAACGGTTGGTTCTTGTTAGACAATGCCACAATTCCTAGGCAGTACTAATAAAAGTGGTGGTAATCACAATATCTTAATCAACATGTTTATATTGTTGAGCTCACACGAGGTTGATAGAGATGCTTATTCGGCTAACGTTTCGACGTCTTCGTCTTCATCAGAGCCGACGATCTTTGTCGATGGTCCACCGCTGTATCTCTATCAACCTCGTGTAAGCTGAACAATATAAACACATGTTGATTATTTTACTACCGAGGTCTAATGACGGTCGATTTCAACACAATGTCTTAACTTTTATTTACAGTATATTCTGTTTTCATGGTAGAGTCCTATATAGAATACAACCAAAAGGATGTGAGCAAAACTCGGAACCTCAGCTTGGCTTCGAATCCGCGATTACCCATACCAGGGTCTCACGTGCTACCCACCACACCAACCGAGGCCCATCATCTAATAGTACCGGCAGAGTAAAAACATGACTAAGAGAAAGGCAAAGCAGTAAAATACAGCAAGGGAATAAAGAATAAAACAGCGACTTACGTAGGGGAAAAATGAACAGTGGTAATAGAACAATGAGTAGTGAAATAAAAGTCGTGCAAAGTAAGACAATATTCACATGCTTTGTTGAAGTTTTCTCGTCTTGCAAAAAATTTCAAACTTTGATATACGGAATTGCACCTTCTACCGTTTAACATGATTTTTGGTGGTTCTATTTAATTAGAATTTTAGGTTTGGGATGATCCCAAAATGGACGAACCTGGCGCACACCAAGTGGTATGGATTGAATTGAGTACTACCGTAATGAATCTTGAGCAAGCCCACAATTTGACTGAGCTAGCATGTATGGTGAGGAGTTCGCGAAGAAGTCTACAGAATTAGTAGAGACAGTCAAGCATTTGCAGGCGACTTCTTAGCCATAGAAAGATCAGCAAGTTTAGAAAAAAATTATAGTGCTTCTTGGTTAAAGTAGTGATGTTAAAATGTAAAATGCTGTCAAAAATGTGGAAGTATGGAGCTCTTGACGTCACGACTTCGTGTTCAGCTGTTCGTTTAATTTTTGCAGAAGGCTAATAGTTCAGTCGTACAATTACTCAGCGCCAGCAATTCAAAGGGTGCTGCAAGAGTGAAGGAGTTGGAAGGTGAGTCCATATGACAAGTAGTCAAACAGGTCACCAAATTGGTTCTCAACCTTAGTTTCTGTCATTGAGTGTTGCACGTGGTGATATATCGTGTTTACCTGCCATCCATAGCACAGGAGTTTTTACTCTTGGATAGGATGGCTGACAATTGTACAGACATATTACCGTATATCACAGAGAAATAGGGTGCAATGTCATCCTTCACTATGAGTTCACTGCCTCGCGATAAGCGATACAAAATAGATTAGATTTCAGATAGATAATAGATAATAGATAGATTTCAAAGGTTAATTCTACTGGGTTAAGAACACAGTTGAATCCTTTTGGAAAGCACCTACCGATGTCACATACCGACGTGTTATCCACTTCATATCATGGCTTGACCATAGAAATCTCCAACGATTTGAGGCTTCACTAAGGAGTACTAAGCTTGCAACTTAGGATTTCGTCAAGAAGAGCACATAAATGGATCAAAGTTCTGCATATATGAAGCCATATCGAAAAAACAATTACGAGGAAAATACATTTTTGACCAGTTTCAAACCATATGAATTTCGGAATAAGGGACTAGGAGTCCTACTGGAGCGTTCACTGTAATAGTTCCTGGTCCAGAAAATCGGAAGCGCGTATAGCATTGGTTATTACGCAGTACACACGTGGTCGTTGCTACCATCAAGCGCTATATACTCACCAAACCCTACCCTACCCATACTTTGGTGGACGGCTAGATTATATAGGAATACCAAGTAGTTAAGATGATTCGGTCGGAGTTTGCTGCTCGCCTTTGTGTATGCCACGCGGGACTTCTTGTAAGTAGCAGTCACAATGCCGGAAACCTCAAACTTGGGTAATTAAACCGTTTATCATAATTATACTACAATTATGGCATAACAATACAACTGTACAATTAATACAACAATGATACGGGCTGTGAGTAGGCGTAACCTGATCACTGATGTTCAGGTTGCTCGTGACTGAAGAGATTGGGATAACGGCACAACTGTGTAATTAATGCAACGATGATATAGGTAATACAATACTGTGTGATATTTGGCGATATGTAAGCTGGGTGGATAAAGATGGAATTGAGATGGTAACAAGTGATATTCGGCGATATGTAAGCTGAGTGGATAAAAGTGGAATTGAGATGGTAACAAGTGATATTCGGCGATATGTAAGCTGAGTGGATAAAGATGGAATTGGGATGGTAACAAGTGATACACTTGAAGGAAATAACGCGGGCACTGGTGTTGGGGCACTAAGGAATTGAGGGATCGGAAGCAGACCATTCGAACACGGCTAAGATTTCAGGACCAGTCCTATGGGCTGCCTGTATTACATCTGAAGTGGGTGGAGCTTTGCTAGAGGGAACTGAAGGCGGCGTTCAGAGAGGGGTTGCATGTGGAATGGTGCAGGTGTCTGTTCGGAGACTTTTTTGGAGCGACAGATGCTGAAAAGTGCATTCAGCTGGCTGCTGCTGATTCCCTTTCCAGCCACCTGCGAGGCAATTGCATGAAACGGTTGTTAAGAGATGATTTACTGAATGTGCAAGGATAGATGTATGACGATTACGAGTAGATAGGTGTTGTAGAAGGCATAATGTTATAATTGTTCTACATAGAGAACATTCCAATATTCGTGGAGAATGTTCTCTATACATACTCTTACTCTGTGATCGGCAAATTGGTACCAGATTTGTCTGAGAAGAAACATAATTTCCATTACCTTTTCTCTTATATAAGGAATTAGAGTCTAAAGAATATCATCTACGGAATATAATATGCGTGTATTTGCCCTCTAGTTAAACCGCAGAAGTCAACGTTTTCGTACGCGGCTATTCTACCTTACTCTGTTGAAGAGTTAACCGAGACAAGTGTGGTAGCAATTTCCCTACTGCGGCAGGATGGGAATCTTCGTGAGTTCGGAAAGCAGTCGAACCAGCACCGCGTTCCTGATGAACGATGGCATTACTATAGTACGCCACCCTCCCAAATTTCTATTTGTTGTTGTTTGTTATTCACTTAGTCCTTTTTACCTTCATTATTTCTCCGTATTTGCTATTTGATTATTATTTGTACTTATATTATTTTATAATTACTTAGCTTTTTACATGGCTGACCCTCCTGCTCTCATATGAAATAAGATGATACTATAGATGATCAAGATGATTACACTCCAACGCCAAGACAGAACAGTTACAGCGTCCAGAAACGCAATGGAGAAAACCATTCATGAATACTACTCAGATCGCTTCGATAGCCACGTCCACCTTCCTTCTTATGAAATAAAAGAGGATGGATATGTCCTCCAACCGGTTCTCCCTTCTGGAATCCGGCATGCCGTTTGTGGGTGAAAGATCGAAGAGCACCAAGTTCGGAGAGGGTAAGATCTGAAAGCCTGAAAAGCCTATCACCATCCTCGTAAACACTCTGGCTCGATTCTTCACAGGTTTCTTGTCTGAGTGCAAGGTCTCTACTCAATGGAGGACCAGAAGACCTCTAGATGTTGTGTACCATTGTTCAAGAAGGGAGACCTCCACGATATCGGCGACTTTCGCCTATTCCGCTTGCTGCCTATTGTCTACAAACTTTTTACTTGAGTTATCAGCATTCTACAACGACATTGACATCAACGTCTGAGAGACTAGACAAGACGATATTATCTCGGTAAAGTCATTTACCGCCACCCTTGAAAATATCATGCGAACACTGGAATTGTAAGACATGGGAGTGAAAATCGACTGTCGACAAATCTTCGCTTAGCTGATGATAGCGTTTTTGCAACACCAAACATTAGTCAAGCGGAACGAATGTTTGCCGACTTTGGTGAAGCCTGTGGAAAGATTTGCCTTGGATTAAATCTCACGAAAATTATGTTCATGAGGAACGGATTAGTTACCCATGCTATATTGTCGCTCAATGGAATGACTATCTACGAATGCTCCATTTACTCCTCTGTAGGTTGGGAAATCAGCATGATGAACCATTTAGTCCTGAGTTGAGCAGGAGGAAACGAGCGGCTTGGAGAGCTTCCATGAGCATCGAGGATGTAGTGAAGAGAGCAAAGAACACCCGACCGTGTACACGTTTTTGATTGAATCATTCTTCCTACACTGACGTATTCGTCAGAAACTTGGTCGCTGTGTAAGCAGGATAAAGGATTGCTCAATTTATGGAGCGTATGGTCGAGGAACGATGTTAGGAGTATCCTGTGTAACACAAGTGAGAAAAGAGATCCCAAGCTCCGACCCTCGTTAAGGATCAAAAATCAAAAATGCTCATCAATACGCGATCTATCGAAGATAAGATGGGCTGGACACGTAATTCGTGTGGACCACAACTGACGGACAAGAGCCGTTAGTGATCGGATTCTTCCTGATGTCGAACGTGCTGTAGGAACACTGCATACGCGATGGTCAGGGTTCTTCACGAAAACCCTTAAAAAAGTACTCGACGCGAACAAAACCCACTGGGGAAGTCTTGCACGCGACAGGAAAAAGTGGAAGATTTGCTGGCGCTCGCTCGAGTCACTTGACGATCAAAGGGACGACATGTGATAGAGATGATACATGATTGAGTTGACACGGGGTTGGTATGAAAACTTTTATTCGGCTAACATTTCGTCGCCTCCACGTGTTTCATGCTGGCTTTTTCTACCTTGTTTGGTAAAAAATGATTACTTTTTTGACCATGTAAAGATGCTGCAACAAAAGTAAAACTCAAACAAGTTGTTGAGTGCAAAGTGTCTGTATTTATTTATCAGCTATTGACATAGCTTACAAACAGGTGCTTTCACCCCACGATATTAGTGGTCACTCATGATCGTCACTAGACATATAATTTAAACGGTCACTTAACAACCTGCTCAAGGACAATCCGAGATTCCTCCTTGCGATGGTAAGCTGCCTCATAGACTGTAGAACGAATAATCTCAGAAACAAGTGATCACTGCTTTAGACATTCCTTGACTATCACTTCCGGTATTTGAGCACACGGTGAGAACCAAGCCTTGCCATCCTGAAATAAGGACTGGCTATAAGCAACTAGAATCATTCGGAACGGTAGGGCAGAGTGACTTAGAATGGTTTCTATGACCTGGTATTAGTTCAAAATCTCGACTTTCATCCGCTTTACGTGTTTCACGATGTTTCAGATTTGAAATCGATGCTAGCAGCGGATAACGAAACGATACTAAAGAATGTTGAGCAGACCATAAATTTAAAACATGTGATTGAAAAACAGTTGGCGGACAGGTGTCATATATTAAATTCAGGATAATATCGAAATTAAAAAACTGTTTTTTCATCTTAAGATGAGAATTATAGAAAATCAGAAGCTAGTGATCTACAGAAGAAAGCAGAGAAGCTGTCCATTGAAGAGAGCCATTTATATGCAGATGTAAGGCCTTCCAACTCAATAGTCACGTTGGTTTCAGCTCATGGACAGGCTGGGCATAGAAAAAAAAGTGGTGCTTTTGTTTTTTTGTGTTTGTTGAACCGAATTTTATCACATCACTGAGCCCTTTTACTTAATAGCAAAGTAAACAATTATTAAGAATCCCTCACTGCGATTGCTGCGGTGGCAAGTTCTTGTCGAGCTTGCATTTTTAATGAAAGAAGAAAAACATCAAGAAATTCATGAAACGTGTTTGATATCTCTCGTTTTCATGGGAGTAGTGTAGCGCACTGGTTAGAGGTGCCCTGGAGCACACATGGTTGATAGTTCGACCTCGTGATCCGTGAAAACTAAGGCCTTAATCTCCTTTGGGTTAGGAAATTGGTATCGACTTGTCTGAGTAGATGAGTGCATTGGTTTGATACATCAAATTGACAGTGGTTTTGTTAGAACAGAGCAAATTTTCTCATAGGAAAAATATCTAATGAATCACGTCTGCAATGTAGGAGTGAAGACGGATGAAGACACGTCCACTAGTCATCGTCAGCCGCTTCATCATCCATCCTTTATACCCTAATGACCAGTTATTGTTTTTTGCTCATTTGATTCCGATGTGTGAAATCCATGAGGATGTCACTTTTAGAACAGAATGAACAGTCTAATTATAGAAAAACCCCAAAAATTTCTTTTCAAGCGACACAAACGGGCATCCTATTTGCTCACTTATAACTATACACCGAAACATTGCTAAGAGTTCATAGGCTTCACCAAATAGATACCATGGAAGAAATATTCCATACTAATAGTGTTCTGTCTATTGCACGTTGAAAACGGTTGATTTTGAGTTTTTAGTTGCTGCGTGAGGAAAATGAGCTTCGAATAGTGAAGGAACGCCGTGGAGGTCCCGACAACTGCGTCACCATGTAGAGCACTGAAAACATAATCATACGGCATTCAACAAGATCGTGACATAATACGATTTGTTCACTTGGAATAAAAACAGGCAACAAATCCTTTTGTTTACATTTCCGTGGTCAAGATCACAAACTACCTTCTAAGTGAGTAGGAGGTGTGTACTTAAGCTTATAGCTACTTAGTGCCAAACAGATTCACCAATCCCCACACCTTCTGAGTTCTATGATTGATTGCATCGATTAAACTTCATATACTGGGTTTTGAATAGAACTAAACAAAATGGTTATTTTTCCTCACCTTGGTTTGAGGTCTCCCGTCCTGTGTTTGTGATAATTCCGGTTACCCCCTTATCTCACCGTGTTGATAAGGTGAACGCAATTGTAAATTTCTCACAACAACTTGCGATAGACTAAATTTGCAATGCTGGAAATGACGTAAACAACGTTTGCACTTAGAATTTTGTTTGCAAAAGACGGAATATATGCAGCCTTAACTCGACTCTTTATGCATTTTTGAGTATCAAAATTAAGATGCCTCTCACAGTAGTTTATAGCCCAGCATAGTTTGAGGTAGTCATTCTCTTAAAAGAATCACAAAAACTGGTAAATGCAATATTTCCATCCGGAAAACGCCGTTAGAGGCAAAACAATACGAGGAATCACCGATGTCCTGGAAGGAAGCCAGTTGCATTACGACAAAACCTTCTTGTAATTCACAGCGATTAACGACGTCTTACGGGGACGAGCTGTGACTGCCCTGGGATGTCTTTGTAAATTTCAGGAAAGAAGTGTCCTGAGTTATTATTGCTCCAGTTGAGTTGAACATGTTCTAAAGCGTTAAAAGACAGGCTGAACCACTGAGTCAATCAAGGAGAGGCACAGCCGTCCACAACAGATTGTATTTGGACGAACGAAAAGGTGCAGGCATGCATTCGGAATTGATAGGTGTGTGATAAATATCTTTCTAGAGAGAGAAGCTTTTCATACTTACACAAGCCAGCTCCCAGTTAACTCCTTGAGATCAGTTTTTTGATCAGAGAAAAAAATTCGTTTCGGAATATACACTTTATGCTCTGATGATTCTAACCTCTAACTGCATGAGAAATTTACGGTATACTGTGAAGACTGTCTCACTTTATGCACCTGTAGCAAAAGAGCAATCTTCTAGAGCCGATGCTACAAAAGGGGCCAATACCAATCGATCTCATTAAGTGAATGAATGTTCATATTACAAGAATTAAATTCATTCACGAAGTACTTGCATTATTTGTGTTTCCATGGACCATCTGTCTCCTAGCAAGTGGGTTAAGAAGATGAATTAACCTCTGTCTCTAACAGTGCTCTCGATTTGCAAGTTCTTCCCAATTTCGCCATCTGTTATTCACTATCATGCTGACAATTTAAAAACTGCGCGCTTGCGGTCGACGTTATAATACAAAGCTCTTGAAAACACACTGCAGCTTGGACAGCCTTCTGAGCAAATAGAAAACTAATCATTCAGAGAAGCTGACTTTTCAGAGAACCACTGTTGGTAGCAGGCTGTGCTCCCAGTAGTACTACCAGAGGCAGATCTGCTGTATGATACGACGAAACAATAAAGAACAAAGCGCTCTACATTGATTAATCCGTGAGGGATGTTCCATGTATTCGTTTCCGGCAAACAACGTATAGGTGGTTGAATTCATATCTGGCCTACACAGTGACTTGTAGTGGTCTCTCAATGGATCAAGTCAACGCAGCTACCTTCCTAGACAATTCAAGTACTAATCGAACGGCCCTGCATGAATGAAGAGTTTGGTGACGCGGAATCTAACCAGCTACGGATATGGGTGGATTCCAGGGCGCCTCCAACCACTGCGCCACAACAGGCACCCTTTTCCTTCGATAACTATAACAGGTCAATGCATTTTTAAAATTCCTGCATAACCACTGACCAGTGATTCCAATCAGTTTCAACTCACAGAAAACTTTACTTCAACTAACCCCTGAAACAAACTGCTACCAACGATTAATATATGGAGACAAGTGTATACACGATGTATGACGAGAATATCTTGAATAAAATCTTTGTGAGCGGTGCATCAAGGAATTCCTTATAAAGGACGGCAGTGTTCTTAGGAATTTACTTTATGATGGGAATCAATTTGCTTCACGTGGTCAATTCGTAACCCAGAAAGTTTGTCTTATGTCAGAAAGCTTCTTTTAAAAATGGGAGCTTCAGAGCTTCAGCGTTAATATGAGTGTAGCGCACCTCTTATTGGTTGTAGTTAATGTCGGCTGCAAAACACCTATGAGGAGAAACAACAGCGGCTCATGAAGAGAATGAAGAGAACTGCAGTGGATATAGCTTCTTTCGGCTACGAGGTTGAGCAATAAAGTTACGGTAACTCGAAAGACCGACTTTCTATAAACCTCGGCATAGATAGTTGATATATTTATTATTATTTATTTAGTTGATATGTTTCGAAACCGACCTTCCCTAAACCTCGGTGTGACTAATCAATATGTATTCTTTCTTGATAAGCCTGCACGAGGTTGATAAATATATTTATTTTCGGCTAACGTTTCGACGTCTTCGTCTTCCTCAGAGCCGGTGATCCGAGTCGATGGTCCATGCTTGTTGTTCGCCTCGACGTTGCGTCTTCGCCTTCCTGTCGAGCCAGATCTTCCTCAGCGAGCCATCTTCTCGAATGAGGCATCCTCACTCTCGAATGAGCCTCACATCGCTTTGTGCTAGCTGATAATACACCGACCTCTGCACGATGTGCGCAATGATGTATGTCCGGAAGAAATACAAGTTGTTACCACCGGACATTGTCATTATATCGACCATCAGCATCGTGTATAAAAGGGCATCACTGAGTGATGATGCCTCATTCGAGAAGATGGCTCGCTGAGGATGATCTGGCTCGACAGGAAGGCGAAGACGCAACGTC